TGGCTCAAGTGGTAGAGCACTAGCCTTGAGCTGAAGAGCTGAGGGACAGCGCCCAGGCCCAGAGTTCAGGCCCCACGACCGAACCCAAAAAACAAAAAAGAGTCTCACGAACTTTCCTGCCTGGGCTGGCTTTGAACCTCGATCCTCAGATCTCAGCCTCCTGAGTAGCTAGGATTATAGGCGTGAGCCACCGGCTCCCGGCTTCCCTGAGCTTTTTAACTTAGGGCTAGAGTTCTACCACTTTAAGCCATAGCACTATTTGTAAGTTTTCTGGTGTTTAATGAGAGATAAGAGTCTAACAGACTTTCCTGCCCAGTCGGGCTTTGAATTTTCATCCTCAGATGTCAGCCTCCTGAGTAGCTAAGACTACAGGCATGAGCCACTGGTGTCTGGCTAGGTTTTTGTTTGTTTGCTTGTTTTTGTTTTTTGTCGGTCATGGGACTTGAACTGGGCCTGGGCGCTGTCCCTGAGCTCCTCAGCTCAAGGCGAGCACTCTACCACTTGAGCCATAGTGCCACTTTCGGTTTTCTGGTGGTTTATTGGACATAAGAGTCTTCTGGATTTTCCTGCCCAGGCTGGCTTTGAACTGCACTCCTCAGCTCTCAGCTTCCTAACTAACTAGGATTAGAGGCATGAGCCACTGGCGCCCCGCTCTGCTAGGTTTTATCTCTGTCATTTGAAACAGGATTCAGTGCTTTGAGAGTATCTCATCTTCTCATTATGACCTTGTCTGAACCTCACAATTAACCTATGTTTGTGGGACAGACGACAGACCAACAGAGAATGGGCATTCTCAGTTCTCACAAAAAGCAGCAGAGGCTCAGAGAGGTTAGGTGACTGTTAGAAACCTAGGACCATCTCTCCAGCCTCCTGATTTTTACCCAAGCCAACTTTATGAACAAGTGAACAAATTAGCAGTAAAATGGAGCAAGCCAGATGCTCACAGCTCATGCCTTTAATCCTAGCTACTCAGGAGGCTGAGATCTGAGGATCAACGTTTGTAGTCAGCCTGGGCAGGAAAGTCTGAGACTTTTTTTTTCTTATTTCCAATTAACCAGCAAAAAATCAAAAGTAGAGCTGTGGCTCAGGTGGTAGAGAGCTAGCCTTGAACAACAACAACAACAAAAAAAGCCCAGGGATAGCACCCAGGCCCTGAGTTCAAGCTCCAAGACTGTTGACTGGTGCATACGTGCATGCATGTACATGTGCCCGCGCACACCTGCACATGTACACACACACTACACACACAAGTGTTTGGAGGAGGCCTGGGAATCTGTGTAGGAATGCTGAGCAAGTAGATTACAGCATGAGAGAGGAGAAAGAGCAGGAGAGAGCCTGCATGTTAACATCGAAAAGAACATTCCTAAATTTATAGGAATAATTGGTGTTCTGCCTGCTGGGGGCTCATTTTCTGTCTGGCTCTTCTGTGCAAACCACTTGCAGGAGGAGAAAGCCCTAATTACCTCCTTGGGGCAGAACACTTAAGGGACATGCCACAGTGCTGGGGAACGGGGCAGCCTGCAGCTGGGAGTAGAGTCTATGTCATTATGGCCTATTTGGAAAACTAGAATTTAGTAGCCATCATTGTCATTTAGACACAACAAGGAAAGCTGAAGGAAACCTTGGTAGCTGGGAGAGAGCTGTAGAGTCCCAGAGAATTATTATTATTATTATTAATTTTGTGTGCCAGTCCTGAGGCTTGAATTCAGGGGCTGGATGCTGTCATTGAGTTTTTGTATTTAAGTCTAGTGCTCTACCATTTGAGCCATAGATCCACTTCTGGCTTTTTGGTGGTTTATTGGGGATAAGTCTCATGCACTTTCCTGTCTAGGCTGGCTTCAAACCACAATCCTCAGATCTCAGCCTCCTGAGTAGCTAGGTCTACAGGTGTCAGCTAATGGTCCCTGACAAAAGAATTCTTTTTTTTTTTTTGGGTCCGGTCATGGGGCCTGAACTCTGGGCCTGGGCACTGTCCCTCAGCTCTTCAGCTCAAGGCTAGCGCTCTACCACTTGAGCCACAGCGCCACTTCCGGCTTTTTTCTTTTTGCTTATGTGGTGCTGAGGAATCGAACCCAGGGCCTCAGGCATGCAAGGCAAGCGCTTTAACCACTGAGCCACCTTCTCAGCCTGACAAAAGAATTCTTAAGCAGGACAAAGCTCCCAGAGCATTGTCCTTGGGGAGGATGGGGTATCTGAAAACAGCAGGTTGAGGTGTGGTTTAGATAGAGCAAAAGGCTGGACTTAATGTTTCTGTTTCTTTTTCCCTCCAGTTCCAGGGTTTGAACTCAGGGCCTGGGGACTATCTCTGAGCTTCTTTTGCACAAGGCTAGCACTCTACCACTTGAGCCACAGCACCACTTCCAGCTTTTTCTGTTCATGCAGTACTGAGGAATTGAACCTAGGCTTCATATATTCTAGGCATGCATTCTACTACTAAGTCATATTGCTAGCCTCTTTTTCTCAGTTTCTCTGTCCATGTTTTGTTTTTCTTCTTTTTTTTGTCCATCATGGGGCTTGAACTCTGGGCCTGAGCACTGTCCCTGAGCAATTCAGCTCAAGGCTAGTGCTCTACACTTGAGCCACTGCACCACTTCTGGTTTTCTGGTGGTTAATTGGAGTCTCACAGACTTTCCTGCCTGAGCTGACTTTGAACTGTGATCCTCAGATCTTAGCCTTCTGAGTAGCTAGGATTATAGGCTAGATTGGCTTTTTTTGATCAAGTTTGGTGCTCTACCACTTGAGCCACACCTCCTCTTCTGCTTTTTTGGAGCTTAATTGAAGATTAGAGTATCTTGGACATTTTCTCCTGGGCTGTCCCTTGAACTTCAGTCTTCAGATCTCAGCTTCCTGAGTAGCTGGGGTTACAGGTGTGAGTCACTAGCACCCAGCTCTCAGAAGGTAACCTTTAAGCAGAATATTTTAACCTTGGTTGGGGTTGCAGTTGCAGTAGCAGCTTCTGGCAGCCACAGTCCCGCCCTGCATGGAACTTTAGATGAAATCAGAGAATAGGGCCAGCCTGGGTCCGGACCTTAACCTGCCCACCCCCATCCTTCATCCCTCCCTATAGCGCCAGCTCTTCCTAAGCATCCCATAAACAGCTCTGTGCCACCTCTTCCTTAAAAAGGACTGACTGCTCTGCTCTGCCCTGCCCTTCCTCCTGGCTGCTGCCTCCCTCCCGACACTTGCTGGCAAAACCAGGCAGGGCTGTGTGACCCCATTGCCTCTACCTGGTGACCTTTCACTGCTCCTGGACACTGAAGCTGCTCTTCGCTTCTGGACTTTCTGCTCTTGGCCTTCTTGTTCCCTTTGCTTACTTTCTTTCTTTTCTTTTCTTTTTTTTTGGTGGTACTGTGGTTTGAACTCAAGGCCTTGCACTTGCTAGGCTGGTGCTCTACCAGCTGAACCATGTCCTGTATCCTTTTTTGCCTTATTTTTTATGTAAGGTTTTGTATTTCTGCTGGCCTCAGACTATAATCCCCACATAACTGGGATTACAGGCATGCGCCATTGTGTGGGGATACACTTACTTATTAGGACTGAGCAGCTACTTTTTGTGCCAGTCCTGGGGCTTGAATGCAGGGCCTGGGCTCTGTCCCTGAGCCTCTCTGTGCTCAAGGCTAGTATTCTACCACTGGAGCCACAATGCCACTTCCAGCTTCTAGTTTATGTGGTACTGAGGAATCGAACCTAGGGCTTCATGCTGCTAGGTAAGCCACATTCCCAGCCTGAGCAGTTACTCTTAAATCATTTTTCTCACATCTCACTTAATGTTTATATGTTCCTCAAGTTCACAGCAAGAGGCTCACAGCTGACACTCAACCATTTGAGCCACACCTCTAATGCCCCGTTGCATTGGCTAACTGGAGATAAGTGTCTCTGATTTTTCTGGCCAGGCTGGCTTTCAATCAGGATCTTCAGATCTTAGCCTCCTGAGTAGCTGAGATTACAGATACGAACCACTGATACTTGGTTTCACTTGTGTTTTCTTCTTCCATTGTAAGAAGAGTAACGGGAAATGACAGAATGGGCTTTTGGAGGCAATCATGGGGCTGAGTCTCCCCTGGGTGTCACTCGCTAGTTGTGTGACCTTGGTCACATAACCTCCCAGCCCCACTGGGGGGGCGGGGAGGGAGGTGCATGTGACTAGACAAAGATCTCAGCAGAAAGTCAGTGAGAGCTTGTATTTTTTTTTTTCTTCAGTCGTGGGGCTTGAACTCTGGGCCTGGGCGCTGTCCCTCAGCTCTTCAGCTCAAGGCTAGCACTCTATCACTTGAGCCACACCACTTCCGGCTTTTTTCTTTTTGCTTTATGTGGTGCTGAGGATTCCAACCCAGGGCCTCATGCATGCAAGGCAAGCGCTCTACCACTGAGCCACCTTCCCAGCCCCTAGAGAGCTTGTATTCTTACCTGAGTCACCGAGGTCCTATCTACCATGCCACTCTCACTAAAGCACGCTCTTCTATGCTTGGTTTGTGCACGAAAAGAAAAGAGCCGCAGTGCAACACACCAACATGGATTAAATTCATTCATTTTTTTTTTTTGCCAGTCCTGGGGCTTGGCCTCAGGGCCTGGGCACTGTCCTTGAGCTTCTTTTACACCCTACCACTTGAGCCACAGTGCCACTTCTGGATTTTCTGTGTATGTGGTACTTACAGAAGAATCAAACCCCGGGCTTCATGCATGTAGGCAAGCACTCTACCACTAAGTCCCATTCCCAGCCCTAAATTCAATCTTAAAAAATTAAATTCTTAGTTGGTGCCAGTGGCTCATGACTACAATCCTAGCTATTCAGGAGGCTGAGATCTGAGGATCATGGTTGGAAGCTAACCCTGGCAGCAAAACCTGTGAGATTCTTATCTCCAATTAACTACCAAGTGAACTGGAACTAGAGCTTTGGCTCAAGTGGTCCAGTGCTAGTCTTGAGCAAAAAAAGCTGAGACAGCTCCCAAGCCCTGAGTTCTGATACAAAAAACAAAACAAATAACAACCAACAACAAAACTCACACAAATTCTTGGCCATTTATTTCCCATGTTGCTACTATGTCATTCTTGATGTCATTTTCAACGATGTTTGCTGTGGCTTCTTTAACACTGCTCCCCATGCGTGGTGTGACAGTGACGCCTGGGACCTCCCTCCAGCTCTTTCAGGAAGGAGGCAGCTTGGGAAGGTCACACCCACGTTTTGCCACTAACTTGTGCTGGGCTTCTGGGTCCCTTTATTGATAATGTTTAAAAAGATCAGCTCTGCACCACTCACAAGGGCACAGAAGCGCTGTCCCAACTCCTGAACCTCCACCGCTACCTCTCATAGACTAGAACAAGGACGGTTGGTCCTAAACCCTCTCCGAGGCACGAGGTTTTCCCCAGAGACATTGGTGCTGACACTGGTGATCTCTGCCAGGGCCCAGGGAAGGCACTTAGTGAATCCCTGCCTGGAAGCAGCAGTGTGTGGGGGGGGCGGGGGTGTCTGTGGCTAAATGCACACTTGGAACTGTCTTGAGCTGTTTAGCCTCAACGAAGGGTCTTCCCTGTGGATCTCATCTGCTCAAAGGCGCTTACACTGCAGGCAGGAGGACCGAGGCTGGGAGGGAAAGGGCACATCTGACAGCACTACCCCACTTGCCCCGCACTATTTCCAAAGCCTTCTGGAAGACGCCACCCAGAGGGGAAAGGGAAGAGCAGCAGCTCCTCAAGGGAGATGAACCTTGACCTGGCCATGACCACATTTTGAAACGTGGTCAGGTCCTGTCCTTTTAGTCCAGGAGGCTCATGGGAACCCTGATGCTATTCTAGGTAGATCGCCAAGTGAAGGTGTGTGGGTGCTGGGGCTCCAGGACATGAGCTGGGTTTGGGGAGCTTTGCGAGGGGTGGGGTGGGGGGAGACAGAATGGGTCCCTGTCACTCAGCTGGGTGAGTGGTTAGAGCGTCTACCAGGCAATTAGGCCTGGTCTCTGCTCACTTGGCAGCTTACAGGGAGGACTCCCCCTCCCCCCCTCCCCGCAACTACCTGCTCTGCATCTCCAACACACTGACAACTGTGAGCCACAGAGGGAGGGCTATTGATTTTTCACTTGTGCAGTTGGCCTAACAGAACCAATCCATCAAGTTCATCTGCCTCATGTGCTCATCCTAACCATGTGCAAATAATGGTGCTTACATCCAGGGTGACTTGGCAGGGTCCAGCCGGGCCTAGGCCCAGACCCTCCCAGTTCTGAAACTGCTGGCCGGGGCTGCCAGGGGGCTTTGGGACCAGTGCGAGTCCTGCCCACTCTCACAGGGCGCGGCCACGGCATCCTCGCTGCATGTGAGGGCTTCCCGCCTCTCCATTTGGGGAAGTCACCCCATCATGATCATGTATGACCGTGAGGCATTGAGTTCTGGTCCCGGCTCTGCCACTGGCCAAGTGTCCTTGGGCCAGCTGCCTGATGGAGGTGATAGGGTTCTAGAACTTGGGAAAGCCAGAGGGTAGACTGAGAATCCAAGCCTGGCTCTGCTCCTTCCTGGCTGGGCCTGGTAGCACCTTCAGCCCTCTGTGCCTCACTCATCTCTAAGACAGGGCTGAAAGGAGTAGCAACTTCCGGGGCAGAAGCCACGAGGATGGGAGGAGCGGAGAGAAAGGCGCGCAGAGCTCACACCCACACCTCCTTCCACCGCCTTGCACCAACCGAGTCCCGCAGCAAGGCAGGGTGACATGAGGAAACATTGCAGACAGCAAGCTGGCACAAGCCTGGGGACCATCGTGCCCTCTGTCCTCTAGCTGGCACCGTCACCGAAGAATGACACAAAGAGGGCCACAGGGGCCAGGGGCCATTGCTGGAAAAGGGTTAAGCGACTTTATTCGCAGCTCCCTGCTGTCCAGGAAGGAAGGGGAGTGGCGCGGTGCTGCTCTGGCGTGCCGCCTCGTGGCTCTGTCCCTGTCGGTCTCCTGCCAGCATGGCTGGGCAGCCTGGCTCGTCCGTGGATGGATAAGGCACTGTGTGTCTGTAAGAAGGCGCTCATGGCTGGCTGGTGGACGCTGAGGTGGCCTTCTAGGGGCTGCACGGCTGAGGTTGAGGGTGGAGTTGAGCCTGGAGAAGGCGCCTCAGGAAGGGATCATGCCCTTGTTTCTCTTGCGGTCAGCCATGGTTCTCCGGTTATGGTTGGCTCTGGTTGCCTTGTTGGCTTCCTTCTTCCTGCGTTCCTGTGTGGTCTCCCGACTCTGCCCGTGGCCTCGGGGACCACCAGCCACTGCTGCTGAGCTGTCATGCCGGTACCTGAGGGAGCAACACCCACCCCAGGAGAAGCTGCTGGTCAGAAGAGCTTCTGCTGGTCACCATGTAACCTCTGTGGTTAACCAGACTGGGTCAGCCCCCAGCCTCCTGTGTTTGAGCCTCACTTCCAGATGGACCTGTCCTTCAGCTGTGGGAAGACAGCTGGAAGGCTGGAGGACCCAGGGTGGGTCACCTCCCCTCCGTGCCCAGGGCTGCCTGCTGCCATTCCTAGGGCTGAGTTTGGTGGCTTCCAGTGACCAGATGCACTCACGTATGTGACTTAGGATCATTATCTAGCTTAGCCACAGGGATCTGGATTTGCCCAGAATGTCAAATTCCTGGTGGCTTTGCTCCCTGCCCCAACGACTTTCTGCCTTCAGAAGAAAGTACCAAGGTGGCGCTGGAGCCCCACTGGACCACTTTCTCACTGGCAAAGGGGCGTCTCCGATTGCTAGCCCAAGGCCTTCTCTGACTAGGCTGGTGCTTTCTGGCCATCCTGTCCCCAGGGGAGATGCCCCTGCATTCTTCCTACTCTCCAGGGCCTAGCTCAAGCATCCCTTTCTCCCTCCATGCCTCTCTCAGCCATAAAGGATGTGTCTGATTGCCTGGGCTCTGCTATAGTTTATCCTCTGCTGATGCCAGCTGGGCCTGGACACAGTGGGCTCCCATGCTGAGCGACAGACCTGCTGAATCCGTCAAGTAATGGTTATGAGTGTGGAACCCAAAGTGGAACCATCTGGAATCAACTTTTTTTTTTCCTTCGGTGCGGGGGTGTGAACTCAGCTCATGTTTGTCAGGCAGGCATGCTACCACTTGAGCTATGTCCTCAGTCCTTTTGCTTCAGCATTTTTTCTTTTTTAAAGGCTAGTCCTGGGGCTAGGATGGTGGCTCAGTGGTATAGAGTGCTTGCCTTGCATGCATGAGGCCCTGGGTTCGATTCCTCAGCACCACATAAGCAAAAAGAAAAAAGCCGGAAGTGGTAGAGAGCTAGCCTTGAGCTGAAGAGCTGAGGGACAGCGCCCAGGCCCAGAGTTCAGGCTCCATGACCGGACCCCCCCCCAAAAAAAAAAAAAAAAAATGCTAGTCCTGGGGCTTGAACTCTGGGGCCTGGGCACTGTCCCTGAGATTTTTTTTACTCAAGGCTAGTGCTCTACCACTTGAGCCATTTCTGACTTTTTGGTAGTTAATTGGAGTTAAGAGTCTCATGGACTTTCTTGCCCTGGCTGGCTTTAATCCATGATCCTCAGATCTCAGCCTCCTGAGTAGCTAAGATTACAGGTGTCAGCCATTGGTTCCCAGCTCAGCTTGTTTTTCAGATAGATATTTTGTGATTCCCCCTCACTATATCGCCTAAGTAACTAGAATTATAGGCATGTACCATCACACCTGGCTTTATTTCCTTTTTTTTTTTGAGACACTGTGTAGAGCCAAGGCTGGATTGGAATTTATTATATAGCCCAGTTTGGCTTTGAACTCATGATCCTGAGTGCTCAGTCTCTGGAGTGCTGAAATTACAAATGTGAACCACTCTTTTTATCTTGAAATTTGGGGGTCTCACTATATTGTCAAGGCTGTTCTTTTTTTTTTTTTTGCTTGTCATGGGGCTTGAACTCTAGGCCTGGGCACTGTCCCTTAGCTCTTTGGCTCAAGGCTAGGCTAGCACTCTACCAATTGAGCCACAGCACAGCACCACTTCCAGTTTTCTAGTGGTTAATTGGAGGTAAGAGTCTCCCAGACATTCCTGCCCAGGCTAGTTGTGAACAGAGATCCTCAGATCTCAGCCTCCAGAATGGCTAGGATTATAGGTGTGAGCCGCTGGCACTCGGCTTTCAAGGCTGTTCTTGAACTCCTGACCTCAAACAATCCTTCTGCTTCAGCCTCCCAAATGGGTGGGACTTTAGGTTCATTCCACTGAGCCTGGCTTAGGCTTATTCTTTGATCTACCTCATACTAACTATGTGGCCTTTGGGAGATTACTTCCTCTCTCTTGGCCTGAGTTTCCTTATCTATAAAATAAGGACAATGATCATAGTGGCTAAGGTTGAGAGAGCTAAATGAATACACAGAAAGCCCTGTGGGCCTTTCCCAGACAGATCCCCCACCACTGGAATCAGCCCCTGGGAAGCTCACCCCTTCCTGGCGAGGAAGGTCATGCGCCTGGCTTCTGCCTTCTCCCTCAGCACCGCAGGGTCCTGCACGAAGTGGTCAGGCTGTGGAGGGAGAGGGGAATCTGATTCTCTGGGCCAGAGATGTGTGTGTGACAGCACAGCAGGGTTCCATCAGGGAGGAGGGGACTGGGGCTTCCTGGGATGGCTGGTGGGATGGCTGGGGGCCATAGCTGGAGGATGACAATAAGCGGGGGTAAGGCAAGTTGGCCAAGCTGGCTGAGAGTGAATCTTCAGGGCTGTGAAAGCCAACGGGACCCCTGGATGGGGCGGGTGAGCCCTGCTGCGGTGCCCCAGCAGGGCCCAGGGCGCCCACTCTCAGGGACAGCATTCTCTGCCAAGTGTGAGGTGGACTTGTGCTGGGGACAGCTGTGACCTAAGTACAATAGCAGGCTTTGATGGCTAGTGGGTTTTAAGAAAACAAAACCAAAGTGAATAGGATCAGGAATGTGTGAAGACTGATAGAGGTCAGAAAAAAAATAACTCTGAACACCAGGGCTGCAAAGAGGGGACGTCCGAGGTCACTGCCATCGCTGAGGGGGCTCTCGGCCAGGCCAGGCGTGTTCCATCATCAGGCCAATCTGTGCCAGGCCGCTCTAACTCAGCGCCCGTGGTGATGGCCCAGAACCACTGACTTTGTCCCCTGAGAGGGCAGGGGCGTGGGGTACGGTGGGGAGGGGAGGGGAACCCTGGGGGCTCTAGGATCACTGGTTGCCACTCTATTCAACATGAACAGTATGGCTGTCATCTGTTTTACTAGAAGGGCTGTACCACTACACAAGCCATGTCATCTCTTTTACATGTGGCAGTTCTAGTTGAGATTTCAGCTGAAGAAAAAATAGTTGAGTACTGAAAAATGGAATCTTTAGATGCACTGATCCAGATGACTGCGGGGCTGTACAGAGGCCAACAGGTGCCCTTCTCTCTGGATCTGCTCGTTTCTGGCCTAATGAGCCTGGCCGCTCAAAGGCCTAACCTTATTCTGTTCTCTAGGTCTCCATTGGCCAGTGGAGCCAAGTCTTAAAAGCTGGCTCACAGGGCATCCTCCCCCCCACCCCAAACCATCTGAGGCAGTAATGCTAGAGCCAAAGGCAAGGGGTGAAGGGCACATAACTCCCAAATCACCCTTTAGCACTATACCCTCCTTTTTGTCTGCCAGCCTGCCCTGCCTGCCACCTGTTAAGAAGGTACCTTGGGAGCATCGTCTTCAGCTTCCTCCTCTTCCGCATCATCCTCTTTCTCCTGCCCTTCTCCGGGCACTTTGGTTCTCAGTATCTGAGGGATGGTGAAGGGTCTGCAGGTTGGAGAGATCAAAGGAAGGTTATATACTTGCACAGGAGCCTGGGGACACAAGCTGAGGAGGAGGGCAGGTCGGGAGCCTGGGGCACCCCAAGGACTTGGCACGGCAGCTTTGCAGCCTCTGAGGGCTCTGGGGTCTATTCATTGGGGGTAGGGATTGCTGAGCTGGGGCCCTGGGGCTCTCTAGTACTGCCTTTCATTAGGGCAGCTCTGCTTTGATCTGTGGAAGGGAACCTCTGAAAAATTTCACAGGGAAAAGTGTTCTGTACTTAAGAAAAAAATGTAAAAAACGACTTCACAAGACCCAGTAAATGCTGTCCACCTGGGCACAGGGGGCGGGGCGGGGGGCGCTGGGATTCGGAACCTGGGTGCTGGCCCTGGCTCTGCCCTGGCCAGCTGTGTGGTCCCCACATCTGGCCACAGAAGGATCCAGAGTCCCCGGGCTTGAGAGCCGCCACACACGACGGCCCCTCCTCACCTGCGGCTGATGAGCTCGTCATCTGAGTCTGCATCATTGGCACCAATCTGGTTGCCATCATAGGTGTCATCATACTCATCCTCATAGTCGTCGCCGCGGTACTCTCCTGGCTGCAGTGGGACCTGCAACAATGCAAGCATGGGAGGGAGGGGCCCAGGGTCCAGCAGAGGCCCGAGGCCAGCAGAGCCCAGCAGAGGCCCAGGGCAGCCTACCTCCTCCACTACCACGCTGTACTGCTCGTAGCGCTGCCGCTGGGCCACCACCTCCCGCTTGTCATTCACCAGGCTCCTTGTGTTCTCCTCCTTCCTGCAAATGGCAGAGACAGAGGAAGGGAAGATATCAGGCTGCAAAGGCTTTTATGGTGCAGAGAGCATGCAGGGCTCCCCTATCTTACCCCTTGGGATGGCCTATGCTGGGGCAGATGACAAAAGAGCTGCTGAGGCTGGGTGCCAGTGCTCACACCTATCAGCCTAGCTACTGAGGAGGCTGAGATCTGAGGATCCTGATTCCAAGCCAGCCTGGGCAGAAAAGTCCATGAGACTTTTCAAAAAGCCACAAGTGAAGTTGTGGCTCAAGTGGAAAAGCACTAGTCTTGAGAAAAAAAAAAAAAAAACAGCCAAAAAACCCCCACAAAAAACAGGGATAGTACTCAGCCCCTAAGTTAAAGCCCCAGGTCTCCCACATAAAACAAAAGACCTCCTGAGGGTGGGGAGGTGGGACTCTGACAGAAGCAGACAATGCCCAGCCCCTCTGCAGGGCATCCTAGGAACCATTGTTATATGACTCAGGAATACCTTTCAAGGTGTCTACCCTAGAGAAACACTGTTGCTCAGGATTTTTCAGTATTGTTGGAACTAGTGAAAAATGGCAGGCAACTAATGTTCATGAGTGAATGGTTGTATGAACTGTGTCTCCTTTGTATTATAGGTTGCTCCATGTCATTCTCAAGACCGACACCAATCTATTTATGCTGGTTGGAGAAAGAATTCTAAGATCTATTCCTGTAGAAAAAGCAAGCGAGGGCTGGGAATATGGCTTCGTGGTAGAGCGCTTGTCTAGCATGCATGAAGCCCTGGATTCAATTCCTCAGTACCACATACACAGAAAAAAGTGGAAGTGGTGCTGTGGCTCAAGTGGTAGAGTGCTAGCCTTGAGCAAAAGAAGCTCAGAGTCAGTGCCCAGGCCCTGAGGTTCAAGCCCCAGGGCAGGCAAAAAGAAAAAGAAAAAAAAAAGAAAAAAGAAAAAGCAAGCTACTGAAAAGTGCATTCAGAATGATACTGCAAGCAAAGCTGCTTGATTCTCTCTCCTAGTATCTATGTATGTGAATGAGGACAAGGACAGCAAATCCCACATCAAATAACAAGACTGATCCTAGGAAGGGCCTTGGCTTATTGGAATCCCCCCCCCATTTCTCTCTGTCCCCCTCTTCTCTCTCTCCTTCCTTCCTCCCTCCCCCCCCCCCCTCTTTCTTTCTTTCTTTGTCATGGGTCTTGAACTCTGGGCCTGGGCATTGTCCCTCAGCTCTTCAGCTCAAGGCTAGCACTCTACCACTTGAGCCACAGCGCCACTTCCAGTTTTCTGAGTGGTTTATTGGAGATAAGAGTCTCATGGACTTTCCTGCCCAGGCTGGCTTTGAACCACCATCCTCAGATCTCAGCCTCCTGAGTAGCTGGGATGACAGGTGTGAGCCACTGTCACCTGTCCCTTCCTTTTTTATTTTTGGGGTGCAGTCATGGGCCTGAACTCTGAGTCTAGGCGCTGTCCCTAAGCTCTTCAGCTCAAGGCTAGCATTTTACCACTTGAGCCATAGTGCCACTTCTGGCTTTTTTCTTTTTGCTTATGTGGTGCTGAGGAATCGAACCCAGGGCCTCATGCATGCAAGGCAAGCACTCTACCACTGAGCCACCTTCCCAGCCCCCCCTTCCTTTCTTTTTTGTACTTGTAGTACTGGTGATAGAACCGAGGGTCTTGCATATTTGTTTTTTGTTGTTGTTGTTGTTGTTGTTGTTTTGTTTTGGTACTAGTCCTGGGGCATGAAGTAAGCCTGAGCATTCTGAGCCACAGCTCAGATAAGAGTCGCATAGACTTTCCTGCCCAATGCTGGCTTTGAACTGCAATCTTCAGATCTCAGTCTCCTGAGTAGCTAGGATTATAAGTATGAGCCACTGGTGCCTGGAAGCATGTTTGGATCTTTAAAAAAGAAAAAGAAGGGGGGAGTGTGGGGGGGAGATGGGGAGGGATGGGAAGGGGAAACAAAGGAGGAGGCAACAATGCTTGATAAGAAATGTACTCATTATTTTGCCCATGTAATTATAACCCCTTTGTACGGTATTTTCACAATTAAAAAAAAAGAAAAAGAAATTGGATGCCAGTGGCTCATGCTTGTAATTCTAGCTACTCAGGAGGCTGAAATCTGATGATCAAAGTTCAAAGGCAGCCTGGACAGGAAAGTTCATGATACTCTTATCTCTAATTAACTGGAAGAGGTGCTGTGGCTCAAAGTGGTAGAGCAAAAGAGTTCAGGGGCAGTGCTCAGGCCCTGAGTTCAAGCCCCAGGACCAAAAATACAAATAAATAAAATAAAAAAATAAGGCCATATATAGCTTTCTTATGAACCCAGGGAACCCTGAAGACCTTGGGGAGTAGAGCCAGGGGGGCCCTGGCCTCTTCTCACCCCCTCCCTTCCACCACAGCGCCTCTTATCTGCTCTATGGTTCCAGCTTCCCTTGAGAGTTCACTGAGAGAAATGTCTGGAGATCCTTTTGGGTCACAAATGAGGAAACCAGAATACAGGGCTGTGGGAAGGGACAGGTTTGGGCCACACTGAACTGTGTGGCAGCACGGTGCTGGCAGGTCTTGGGTCTCCTGATCGTGGCTTTGCTAACCTGTAGAAAAGCTTGGCTTGTTAGCTGTAGATACAGGGCTATGGAATGTAGTTTCTAGCCCCGCAGGGGAAAATCAATATGAGATGCCAGACAAGAAAATCCAGCTTAGCTGTGAAATCGGGTCGCTGGAATGTATCAAAGATAGAGAAGAGGGAAAGAAAAAAAGAAGAAGAAGAAGAAGCGACACAAAACTGTGTACAGCTTCCATAAAAATCTTGTCAAGTGGCTACTAGTGCAAGGGGGGCCAGGCATCTGTGTCTGTCAGGCTGTCTTCCTGGGAGAGCAGGACAGGGCAGGACAGCAACTTCCACTGTGTGCTAGTGCTGTGTACTATTAAGGGCCTACAGTGTATGTGCCAGGCCAGGTTGTAACACTGAGGTGGGGAGAGGTTCAGGAGGAGGTAGATAAGCCTCTGCCCTTATGAGCTCATGAGTGGGAGCAAGTGGAGGCATGCCAGTCCTGGACAGAATAGGAGGACAGTATATTGGCTCAGAGGCCCAGGAGGGAATCTGGAGGTAGGGACAATGAGGCTCCAGAGGGGTCTTGGATATAGAGCAATTTCCCCTGTGGAATTTTCCATGCATTTTCCAAAAAAAAAAAAAAAGGCAAGACTGAAGAGTTCCAAGGCCCCAGAGTGGGCAGAAAGGACAGAAGTGAACCACAGAGAAACTTGGTCTTCAAGGATCACTTCCAGGGGCTGGGAAGGTGGCTCAGTGGCAGAGTGCTTGCCTTACAAGCATGAAGCCCTGGGCTCGATTCCTCTGCAGCACATAAGCAGAAAAAGCCAGAAGTGGCGCTGTGGCTCAAGTGGTAGAGCACTGGCCTTGAGCTGAAGAGCTGAGGGACAGCACCCAGGCCCAGAGTTCAGGCCCCACAGCCAGAAAAAAAAGGATGGTTCATAGTCACCAGGGAGGGGCCCGGGGCTGCCACTATGGCCCTGTCCCTGGCTTTCCTCACCGAGCTGGGAAAGAGGGGCAGGAAATAAAAGGGGCCCAGGCTTGTGGGTGATGGGGACCCTGGGAGGGACACAACCATGCACTCTGCCATGTTTCCTGAGGGTAGCCAGGTGCCAGAAGCTGGGCTGGGCAAGGGAGTAAGATGTCAATGTCCCACCCTGCTTGCGGCTCTTGGTTCTGGGCAGCAGGGCAGTTCTTGCAGGCTAGGTGACCTCTGCTTACATGGCTCCCTGGAAGGGCCAGACAGAGAAGCCTGTTCGCCTCTGCCCACTTGGGCCAGGCCCTGGGAAAGGACACACACAGGAACAGTGGCACCCCGGAATTGGACAGCCTGTCTAGGGAGGTGCAGTTTTTGTTTCATGATTTCTTTTGAACCGGAAGGCAAAGGTGCCTGGACACCTCTCTCCCTCATTTCCTCTACCTCAAGATCCTTAGGATCCACCCCAAAAAGGCCCCTAGAAGTTTGCAGAGACAAGACACCCCTCCTTTTTTTTGGGGGGGGGGAGCGGTCTGGTCATGGAGCCTGAACTCTGGGCCTGGGCGCTGTCCCTCAGCTCTTCAGCTCAAGGCTAGCGCTCTACCACTTGAGCCACAGCGCCACTTCTGGCTTTTTTCTTTTTGCTTATGTGGTGCTGAGGAATCGAACCCAGGGCCTCAGGCATGCAAGGCAAGCACTCTACCACTGAGCCACCTTCCCAGCCCCTACACCCCTCCTTTTTACAGCTGGAGTCAGAAGCCTCAGAGATTCAGAGTAGCCTTCACAGTCATATAGCTTCTAAGAGCAGACCCAGGTCTTCTGACTCAGGTTTGCTTTTGAACAAACTTCCTGAGCTGTGGGAGCACAGGCAAGCCCCGGATTCTCGCTACAAGTCTCAGTTCCTTCTCCCAGCCCTCACTGCCCAGAGCTGAAGTGAGAAGAAATAAAATGGTGTGTGGAAGGAGACTTGGCACCTGCTGGGCTCAACAAAGTGAATCTGTTGTCTTTTACTGCAGGACTTGTCAGAGACTTTAATGTGCTAACGTGCTCTCTTTGACTCTCCATGTGGCAGAGTGCACAGACATCTTGAGCCCCAGAACCTTCTATGAGAAGGAGCCCTTTTTTATTTTTCAAGGTATCATGGAACGGTCCAAAGGAGTTAGAGGATTATGCAGCTTCCTTGACTGGTTGTGATACACCTGCAGCAAGGCTGGCTGGCTGGCTGGCTTCCTTCTCTTCCTCTCTCCCTCCCTCTTTCCTTCCCTCCTTCCTTTGAGATGGGATCTTGCTATATATATAATGTAAAGTCCAGGGCAGCCTTAGCCTCCTGAGTGCTGGGATTACAGGAGTATGTCATCATGTACCACTATTATTCATGTATTCAGGTCTTTCTACCTCTGTACTTCATGTTAAGAGTCCCAGGTCCTGATGAGACTTCAAAACAACCCTGGAAACTTCCGGGCAAGGTTTGCTAGGCTCTAAAAGAAAAACAGGAATACCTGGTCTGGCTTTCTTCTCAGCATTGTTTCTGGAAGCCCGAGCCAGAAATCCTGCTGCAGCCTCAAGCTACCACCTGACAACCAAACGAAGGTCTCAGAGGACAAAACACATATGTGCTGGTCCATGTTGCTGCATTACAGGCTGAGCTCCTCGTTAGGCAAGGGAACCGTCTCTTTCCTATATAGCTGCTAAGACCATCTATCCCACTCAACAGCACCTAAGTGTGCTCCGCCTTGTGTTACGTGAACACCTATGTGCTGCCCAAGGGCAGGGCCCCAGCCCCTCCACTTGCCCGACGGGGATAGGCAGACCTGCTGACCTCCTGGTGCACCTGTCCCGGCAGCTTCTTGTTCTGCCACTGCCTTTTTAATGGTCTGCCTTTCCCACGGTCTCTGCCCTTTGAGGGCATGGCCTGGGTGCCTGGCTCACCTCGTTCCCTGGAGTCTAGCTCAGGTTCTGGTGCTTGTAAATTGTTCAATAAATATTTGCTGAGTGAATAAATAATGAATACATCAATGGAGGCTCTGCCTCTTTGCAATCCCTGCCTTCGGGTCACCCAGCAGAGAGGGGTTCAGTAAACAATGGTAATCCAATTTCAGCCTGGCAGCCAGAACGCTGTGGATCGGGCACAGACTTTGGGACACCTGGCTGTCAATGCCAGGCCTTTCTGACTACCCTGAAGTTGAGAGCAGCATCTTGGCAAAAGCTCATGGGTACCTACAATCTGGGGAGGGGATGGGGTGGTCCTTATAATACAACGCACACTGGGTGAACCCACAGATCAAGGGGGAAGGCCATCTCCAGAGATGGCGAGGCTCTAGGTATGGACCTACCAATCAGAATCCCTAGATTAGAGTGGATCAAACCTTTGGGGACCCTGTGTGTGCCCTTTCTCACAGCAGGGGCTGCAGAGGCCATGCAGGCCTGGCACAGCAGCCACTGATGTGGGATTAACAGCTCTGCTAGGACCTGGGGATGTTGCAATGTGCGTGACTAAGCAGTTTGCAAGTGCTTCCTGTCCAGCAGCCAGATGGCTTCAGGACTGCCTCTCCGAGCCCTCGGCCAGCAAGCTTCCAGCACTGGACGGCCCCAGGGCCTACATGAAAGGGCAGCTTCAACTTCCACCCATGGGCTCCTGCCAGATCAAGGCCAGATCAGAAGTCTTCGCTCTCTGGGCCTCCCCATTACTACCTTTATGATGGGCACAGAGCAGGAAGCACTTGTGCCAAGGTTCTTAGTTTTCTGCGTGCCAGGCCCAGCACCACTTCTAAACTTTGCGGGACTCACATGGAGTTGCCAACATCTTTTGCCTTTCTTTTTTTTTTTTTTTTTGTCGGTCATGGGGCTTGAACTCTGGGCCTGGGTGCTGTCCCTCAGCTCTTCAGCTAAAGGCTAGTGCTCTACCACTTGAGCTACAGCGCCACTTCCGGTTTTCTGGTGGTTTATTGGAGATAGGAGTCTCACAGTCTCTCCTGCCCAGGCTGGCTTTGAACTGCGATCCTCAGATCTCAGCCTCCTGAGTAGCTAGGATTACAGGCGTGAGCCACCAGCGCCCGGCCCTTTTGCCTTTCTTGACTTGGCATTATACACTTTCCATCACTGTGGACTCTTAGTCCCGGCCCTGCATCGCCACTCCAGAACTTGGTAATCTTTTTAACATATAAAATGCAGCCGAGTACTGATGGCTCACCCTGTAATCCTAGCTACTCAGAAGGCTGAGATTTGAGGATTGCAGTTCAAAGCCAGCCCAGGCAAAAAAAAAAAGTCCACAAGACTCTTATCTCCAACTAACCAGCAAAAAGATGGAAGCAGAAGTATGGCTCATATGGGACTGGGAAGGTGGCTCAGTGGTACAGCGCTTGCCTTGTATGCATGAGGCCCTGGGTTCGATTCCTCAGCACCATAAGCAGAAAAAAAAGCTGGAAGTGGCGCTGTGGCTCAAGTGGCAGAGTGCTAGCCTGAGCTGAAGAGCTGAGGGACAGTGCCCAGGCCCAGAGTTCAGGCCCCACAACCAAAAAAAAAAAAAAAAAAGAAGTATGGCTCATGTGGTAAAGTGCCAGCCCTGAGTGGTAAAACCAAATGAGAGCATGAGGCCCTGTTTAAGGCCCAGTACTGGTACAAACAAAAACTCAATACAAAATGTTGGCTCACAGAATCATGGTCAGGCTCACAATAGCCTTGGGCCACTGTTTGAGAAGCCTCTCTTCCCCTGCTTCACAGACCGGACCCTGCGGCCTCCCTCAGCCCTCAGTTCCATGGCACTTTCTCAGGCAGCTTTCCCAGGCTGAAGCCCCTACTAACGCCATGAGGCTGCTGTGCACCTCTACCTTGTACCACTTGTTATATCTGCAAAGTGGTGTTGCTTGTTTGCTGAGCTGATTTATGCAAACACCACGTGGGCAGAGATGTGTCTGTTTCATTACCCACTACAGCTCCAGGACCTCATTAATCCAGGGCTTAGAATCCAGAGTGTAAGTACTCGGCAAATATTTGTTAAATGAATGAATACGTCATGAATGGACTTTGCTGTGCTGAAAAAATAGGAAAGATACAAACTGAAAATACAGAGAAAGGTCTTAAAAATAAAATACGTTCACCTTTGGCAAAGCTCACTCACTGCAAGTAATTTCCTGGTTTGGGGACAGCAAGGTCAGAGCAAATGCTGGGACACACTGCCCAACTCTACACTGGCAGAGCTGAAGGTCAGCACCGCCAAAGCCATACAGGGCTGGGCACTGGTGCCTCATGCCTGCAACCCTACTACTCAAGGGGCTGAGAGCTGAGGATCACGGTTCAAAGCCAGCCCGGGCAGGAAAGTCTGTGAGACTTTTATCTTCAACGAACCACCAGCGAACTGGAAGTGGTGCTGTGGCTCAAAGTGGTAGAGTGCTACAAAAGAGCTCAGGGATAGTACCCAAGCTCTGAGTTCAAGCCCCATAACCAACCACAAAACAAAAAAAAACAACAAACAAAAGCCATTTAGGAAGGAAGAGTGGACAAACTTGGCCTTCTGGCTTCTGGCTACCCACATGAGGTTTGTTAAGAACCTCCCCACAGAGCTAGAATCTAGAGCAGAACACCTGCTTCTGGCCCCCAGCCACAGACTGAGGCTTCAAAGAGACCCTTAGCTGAAGTCCTACGGCCAGTGGCGTGAAGGACCCTTGGGTATTCTCTCCATTTCTCAGCGTGTATACTCCAGGGCGGCTGTACTCACCTTCTGCCCTTATGAATCCGGTTCAAGTCCACTGAATCTCTGCTGAACACATCAAACTCATCATTCTGGAAGACATTGTGACGAGATGCCAGCAGAGGTGTGGGGTCTGGCTTCACCTGTCTGGGGCATGGCACAAAAATCAATGAACAGGACCCTACCTCTGGCGTCCTTAACTTCACCTTACCTCTACCACATTCTACCTCTCAGATTCTTTTTTTTTGGATCAGCTGTGGGCCCTGAACACTGGGCCTGGGCATTGTCCCTCAGCTCTTCAGCTTAAGGCTAGCACTCTACCACTTGAGCCATAGCACCACTTCCAGCTTTTTCTGTTTATGTAGTGCTGAGGAATTGAACCCAGGGCCTCATGCACACAAGGCAAGCACTCTACCACTGAGCCACCTTCCCAACCCCTACCTGTCAGATTCTTTTCTCCCTTTCAGAAGCTACACCTGGGACAGACCTGAAGACAGGACCTACACCCCTGGTCTGAGAGAGTTGGCAGCTACCCCCTTACTCCCAGAATGCCACACTTCACACTCACAACAGCTATGAGACACTTTTTTTGGTTAGCGCATGCTCTGCTACTATATCCTGCCTCCCACCCTCAGCCCCGACCCCTCCTTGAGCCTCAGTGCTCTCATTGGTCAAACTGGCACAAAGAGGCTGGGAAGAATAGTTAACTTCACTCATTCATTCAGACAGCATCATTTGTTCATGAAGAAATGCCATTGCTGTCCTGATTCTTGGTGGCCTATAAGGCATTCAGGGCAGTGGGGAAGTGGGGGCGGGAGGAAGGGGGACTGGGGAAGGGCCAGTGCAAAGGAAGCGAGAGGCTTGGCTATGGTGGCTCAGCAATCTACCAGGAAGGAGCAGGGAAGGACCCAACAGCCCTCTGTCATATATGTCTCTCTTCCCACAAGGCAGAGCAGGGGTGCCCAGATGTGTACCAGGAACCGCAGAGGCTCCAGGTTCTGTTTCCCTGGGGGAAACTAGTTTAAATGGTTGTAAACACAGCTGTGGTGAAGAGAAAGGAGGCATCTTAAGCAGTGAGGGAACAAGACTGGGAGGCAGGGAAAGGGCCCCCTCCCCTGAGGCAGCCTGGGCGGGGCCTCCTCCCACCTGTCTCTCCCACCTGTCTAGGCTGCGGTCCAGCTGGCAGAGGACGGGGGCCAGGCGATCCTCCAAGATGTTGTTGATCACCTGCTCCGGGTCATAACAATAGTGCTCCAGGCAAGCCAGAATAAAGCCCTCCCCTAGGTCTGGCAACAGGTCCTTCACTTGAGAGATGAGAGAGTCCAGCTCCACACCACACACTGCAGGGCCAGGGGCTGCGGCTGCTCCCATGCACTGCAGCAGGAGCAGGAGAAAAGGAGAAAAGGAGTGGACTAAGCCTGGCAGCTGATCACCCATTTTGAGTCCTGGCCCTGCTCCTCCTGGCTGTGGGCCCTCAAGCCAAGTGATTCAAAGCCTCTATCTTTTCCTTTGTGAAAAAAGGAATTCTGACTTACTGGCTGAGCTACTCTGGCTGTGTGACTCTGTGCACAGGGCTTTCCCTCTCTAAGCCTGTTTCCTCCTTGTAAAATGGTATATACTTTTACATGGGCATCCACTTTGAGAGGCTGCTTTAAATGACTGAAAGGGGCAATGAATACAAACCACTGCCCAGGCCCCCCATAAATGGCTTCATTTTACTACTCAAGGTCCTTTCCTACCATTATTAATGATGGATGTCAGAGTGAAACAGCTAACACTAGGCAGGACCTGATGCAGAGGTATTCCCTTTAATTCTTTTTAAAATTATTTATTTATTTATTGTTGGTGTGGGGTTTGAACTCAGGGCCTGGGCACTGTCCCTGGCTCAGTGGTAGAGCGCTTGCCTTGCATGCATGAGGCCCTGGGTTCGATTCCTCAGCACCACATAAGCAAAAAGCCAGAAGTGGCGCTGTGGCTCAAGTGGTAGAGCGCTAGCCTTGAGCTGAAGAGCTGAGGGACAGCGCCCAGGCCCAGAGTTCAGGCCCCATGACTGGACCCCCCCCCCCCAAAAAAAATAAATAAAGGGCCAGGGGTATGGCTCTTGGTTTGATTTCTAGCACATAACAGCAACCCTTGCCATATTACGACAAGAAGCCAAATAAGGAAGAGGGTAGGAAGTGGCAGAGTGGAGACACAGTCCTTTTGAGGAGGGTCTAGCAGGAAGGACATTGAGGATCATCTAAGCCCAGCAGCCCCAGGAATGCCAGCAACCTTACAGAAGTTGGCACCGGCAAGCCTGGCTTACAGATGAGGAGCCAAGGCTGCATGGGAGTGACGTGCTCAAGGTCACACAGCAGTGGCCCTCCTCCTCTCCAGCAGGTGGTCGCCATCCTTGCACCCTATCACCTCTCAACCACGGGAACAAGTCCTGAGCTCAGAGGCCAATCAGTGCATCGGCCAGCTGTGGAAAAGCCTGGAGAGGTAGCGCTAGATCCTAGGCTTCTAGACCTGCGCACTGGAGCTCTGCTGTGTACAGAGGCCTAAGAGGTAGGGCCGGGTCACTCCTAGCTGCAGCTGAAGGAGCCCCACTTTCCTCTGGTCATGGGAAGATTTCATAGGGAGAAAGCTTCACCCCTATTTTACAGAGGGGACACTGAGGATTCAGTGGCTTAAGCAACTTGCTCTCCTCACCCCTGGTCTAGCACTTACTTGGCTGACCAGTGGCCCAAGGCTGTCAATCTCCAGAGGACCCGAGAGCAGGAATAAGGAAGGACTTTGCTATTACCTTGCCTCCCAGAGGGTAGACAGCGACTGGGAAAGCCAGGAGGGTACCTCTCTACCCCCTTACCAACACCATACCTCCGCTTCTTCCAGGTTCTCTGGATGTGATGGCATTTGTGCTGTCACTGGAACCCCATTCAAAGCTCTAGTAGGATTGTCAGCCACTGATGTGTCTTTAGCATCTGTGGCTTTCCGTCTGTCCACCCCTTCCCATGCACTCTCCACAGCCTGGAGAATGTAGGCAGTCCGTGTCTCATCCCTGAGAGGCTGTGTTAGGGACTCTCTTTCTCATGGCTCAGCCTTCTTCAATCATTCTTCCCCCCAGAGTGATTTCTAAGTTCATACCCAGTTTCAGAATATCTGGCTCTTGCCAAGAGCCTTCTGGGCTGACCAGTGGGTACCATGTCCCCAGAACTGTGTGAAGCAGCAGGCCTTGAAACCCAGCTCCTGCTACTCAGTCAAAAGAAGTTCTGGGCAAAGACATGATCTTTGGACAAGCCAGCAGCCACTCATTTGCACTGATAGCCAGGAGGGTTGCAGGGTCACTGTCACTAGACTTCCTGTCCAATCAGCAGATGGCTTGCAAAGGCCGTAGACTCATAGGATCCTTGAAGAAAGGCAGAACAGTTTCTCTCAGCAACCAAATGGCCTACAGGCCTGCTCCTTTCTGTCTCTACTCCTATTCCACCACCCTGGGCACTACCTCCATTGCTCTCCCCCTTTCCTTCTACTACCAACCCACACTGTCTATTCCTGGAGGCTGAGAGCAGCCTCCTCTCCAGCCTCTGGACCCCTGGTGGTCCCAGGCCGGTGCCACACACGTCACCTCCCACCTCCCAGCTCTCCATGATCCCCACTGCTTGCAGGACACAGTCCAATGTCTCAGTGAGAGTCACAGAAAGGCTGCGTCTATCTGCCAGGCCCCATGTCACCTGCCTCATCCCCAACCATCTCTGGCCACACCCTCCTACACTCTCCTCAAAAGAACCAGTCCTTTGTCCTCTGATCCCTGGGAACGTGTCTGTCCTCTCCACTAGCTCACTGCTGGGACATCTGCCGTTCTTTCTATTCTTGGCATAGACATCACTCTGACACCCGCATCCTGAGCTCCACTAGATGAAGTGTGGGTTCACTTCCTGTCAGGTAATACTCTATCTGTCAGTCTCCCCTCCTGCAGTGAGGTTCATGGGGGCAGGCCCAAGTCCAAGCTGATAGCACAGATCCAGGCACTCATGAGACACTAGACAGCATTACCCACCTGCTCAAACATTAGAGCAGTGCTCTCCTCTAGAAAAAGGGGGGCCAAGGCCTTGGCATGCTTCTAGTGACAGGTTAACCTATGTATTCTCAGGCTAGGCCTTTCATAGTCCCTCTAGTCCAAGCAGGCCCTGTCTGACCTGGTCAAGCCCTGTCCCAATGGGCTATGGTACAAGGATACAAGACCGACGAGGCCTGTTGTAGCAAGCTGACATCCTCGGCCACAGGGAAGAGTGCATCATAGTCCCGGAGGAACCTGCAGGGCAGAGAGCAGACAGGAGGGACAGGGCTGGGGCTACAAGGACACCACTGCAGGTTATTTCCTGTATCTGCTACTCAAGCACAAGTGCCAGAACCTTTAGGCTGTGGCCAGCCCTGATGGGGTCATGGCTGCTCCCAGCCTAGGCATACTCACCTCTTTTCCTGCAGCACGGAGGTGAAGATCTGAAGGAACTCCTCAATGAAGCCCTGAACACTGTCACAGCTGGAACAGGACACCAGGGAAGGTGAGCCCAGGCAATGTGGACAACCTGTAGGTCCCTTCTCCACCCACTCTGCCCCTTGGCAAGGCTCTGGCCAGTTGGAGGAAAGAGACATTTTTCTGGTTTTGCCATCTCTGCTTGGCAAACCCAGAGGTGGGGAGGCAGGCTGCACTGGAGTGGTGCGGACACCCCTGCTGGGCTCAGGGGCATTGCCAGGGGCTCCCCTCACCTGCTTTCTAGGATGGGAAGAAGGCAGATGTGGTTCAGGATGATGTGAAACACCTCCAGTAGCTTCTTCTTGGAATGGGAGAGCCTCTGCCACAGATCGCTTAGCAACCTTTGATGGAAGAGAGAAAAGAGAAACAGATTTAGGAAATAAGCAGTCAACATGGAGGGAGCTCCCCCCAGCAGCTGCAGGTACCTCCCCAAGGGCAAGAAGGCCTTATGGGTCACTGCTGGGGGCAGCAGCAAAAGGCTACAGATGCCAGGGGGCCAGCTGGCTCCAGGGTGACTTCTTAGCTCAACAGCAGGACAGGAGCAGGGGGTTCAGTTACTAACAGCTTAAAGCAATTGCTGAGGTGAGGGAGGGCTTAAATGCAGGGGCTAGCTATCCTATTATGCCACAATTGGGGGAGGGGACATTGGGTTAATGGATTTAATTACCAAGCAGGACTTTGTCCAATTTACTCTGCACACTTAGCACTTAACTCTGAACTTGTTAAAATCATTTCCCTTATATCCTCACATGGTTCTTTATGGAGTACTTATGCTACTTAGCAGGCGGAGTCCTAGAGGATATAGATTGGAAGCCATCCCAGGCAGAAAGGTCTGTAAGACTCTACCTTCAATTAACCAAAATGCTGACTGAACTGGAGTTGTGGCTCAAGTGGTAGAGTACCAGCTGTGAGCAAGAAAGCTGAGCAAGGGCTGGGAAGGTGGCTCAGTGGTAGAGTGCTTGCCTTGCATGCATGAGGCCCTGGGTTTGATTCCTCAGCACCACATATGCAGAAAAAGCTGCAAGTGGCGCTGTGGCTCAAGTGGTAGAGCGCTAGCATTGAGCTGAAGAGCTGAGGGACAGCGCCTAGGCCCAGAGTTCAGGCCCTACAACTGGCAAAAAAAGAAAAAAAAAGAAAAGAAAAGAAAGAAAGCTGAGCAAGCTCAAAGCCCTCAGTTTCAACTTGATATTAGAAAAAAAAAGTTGAAAGGGCAGAGGGTACAGGTTTCTCTCAATAGTGGAACAGGTGCTTAGCACACACAAGGGCCAGGGTTCAATCTCCAGAACTCTCTCACTCCCAAATTTTAGGATAAAACACGCAGGGTCCATGAGGCGGCTAGGGTGAGACACTGGAACCTGAAGCCACACACACAGTCCGTGGTCCCACCCCCTTGTCTTAGAGAAGGGGTGCTGCAGCGGGGGAAGGCAGGGCCTGAGTTCCCACACTACAGTCTCCTGTCATTCCCGCCTCACTTGCTGTCTTCAAGCCTCCTCTTCTTGACCGCGGACTCTAATTCAGGAATTGCCACTTCATAAAAAGATGCTAGTCTGTGGGAAGCATACACGGTAAAAACATTGGGTTAGTTCACAAACACCCATTTCTTGAAAAACCAAAGCAAGCCAGGTGCTGGTGGCTCATGTCTGCATTCCTAGCTTCTTAGGCGCCTGAGATCTGAGGATAGCAATTCAAAATCAGCCCAGGCAGAAAGGTCTATGAGACTTTTTGTTGTTGTTGTTGGTCATTAAGCTTGAACTCAGGGTCTGGGCACTGTCCCTGAGCTTTTTCACTAAGGCTAACACTCTACCACTTTGAGCCATAGTGTCACTTCTACTTTTCTGGTGGTTAATTGGAGATGAGTCTCATGGACCTTCCTGCCTGGGCTGGCTTCGAACTTTGATCTTCAGATCTCAGCTTCCTGAGTAGCTAGGATTATAGGCATGAGTCCTCAGTGCCCTGCCCAAGAGATTCTTATTTACAATTAACCACACATACACAAAAAAGCCAGAAGTGCTGTGGTAAAACACTAGCCTTAAGTGAAAAAGTTAAGAGACAGCTCCCAGGTCTTGAGTTCAAGTCCTACTACTGGCCCAAGCACATGTGTGTGCACACACATGCATACATACACATACGTATACACAGAGTTTATACATGCAAATGTCTACACGGTATTTATACTTGTTCAAAACAAGCTACATGTAGCATATTTTCTGTATTGGTTTGATGAGTTAAGCCGGTTAGCATGTTTTCTGTAACTCTTTTTATTTTTTTTTATTTATTTATTTTTTTGGGTCCAGTTGTGGGGCCTGAACTCTGGGCCTGAGCGCTGTCCCTCAGCTCTTCAGCTCAAGGCTAACGCTCTACCACTTGAGCCACAGCGCCACTTCCGGCTTTTTCCTTTTTGCTTATGTGGTGCTGAGGAATCGAACCCAGGGCCTCAAGCATGCAAGGCAAGCGCTCTACCACTGAGCCAACTTCCCAGCCCCTCTGTAACTCTTTTTAAACTAAAAATTAGGCCAGGGACCAGTGACTCAAAAGGCTGAAATAGGAAGATCACAATTCAAAGTCAGCCTGGGCAGAAAAGTCCTCATGAGACTCTTATCTCCAATTAACCACTCAAAAACTGGAAGTGGAGCTGTGGCTCAAAGTGGTAGAGCTGGAGTGTAGGCTCTGAGTTCAAGTCCCTCAATGGACAAACAACAACAATAAACAACTAAAAATTACAATCTAGGTGTGGAAGTGCATGCCTATAATTCATGAAATATTAAGGAGATTTGTGCAGTAGTATTATGAGTTCAAGGCTGGGCTACACAGTGAGTCCTAAGCCAATCTAGGCTATAAAACAAGAGTGTGGCTTAAAAACAAAACAATAAAAAATTGTAAAAAGGGACTCTAGAGGGTATGGCTCAAGCAAAGAGCTTCTGCCTGGCAAGCTCAAGGCCCTGAGTTTAAATCTTAGTACCACCAAAAAAGAAAATGAGCTACTTGAGAGGCTGAGACAGGGTTGCTTAAGCCAAGAAGCTCGAGACTAGCTTAGGCAACATGGTGAGGCCTGTCTCAAAATAAATAAATAAATAAATATACATACACACATAACATCATTTAATAAATATAATCATACTAATAATAAAATAAGCAGAGAAAACAAGTCCCAGCAGCTCCCTACCTTGTATGATAACAAACCATATTTTTTTCATACCTGTACACCCATATACTATGTGGTATATACTCCATATGCACCACAGTATACACAGTATACTCAGCACTGTTTTTCACTTTGGCCACTTCACCTACCCCTCCCATCCCTTCCCTAATTCAAACTGTTGATCTGGGTGTGGTAGAACAAGCCTGTAATCCTAGCAAAAATCTCAAGAGATGGAGATAGGGAGAATCACAGTTCAACACCAGCTCAGGCAAAAATTAATGAAATCGCATCACAATAAACAAATTGAATGTGGTGGTCTTATAATCCCAGCTACCTGGGAGGTGTAGGTAGGAAACTTGTGATTTGAGGCTGGTCTAGGGACAAAAACATATGACCCTATGTGAAAAGTAACAAGCAAAAGCGAGCATGTGGTTCAAGTGGTAGAATACTGGCTGGCAAGCTCAGAGCCCTGAAAACAAACCCTAGTACTACCATAAGAAAGGAAAGAAAGCTGGAAGTGGCGCTATGGCTCAAGTGGTAGAGCGCTAGCCTTGAGCTGAAGAGCTGAGGGACAGCACCCAGGCCCAGAGTTCAGGCCTCAAGACTGACAAAAAAAAAAAAATGCTTCTAGCCCTTCTGGCTTTCTCTCAGGCCTGGCCATAGTTCTCCTTTGCTTCCTGCTCCTCCTCTCTGGGTACCCCTAGGATTCCTCTTTTGGGGGAGGGGGAAACCAGATCTGTTGCACACAGTACATCCCACATTGCCGTGCAGCTGCCTCTTCTGTGATGTAGCTCTTCCTGCTTACGTCTTAGGCTTCCTAATCTACAGATGCAGAATCTTACCAAATGCTTTAGCAAATAATTGTCTGTCCTTCTATCTTGCTGCACCACCAGACGTGGTAGAAGTAACTCGGGCAAAAGAGGCAGGCGCTGCTAGGCATGGCACCAGCAGAGGCCAGAGAGGGCAGTTTGGCTCAAGCAGATTCAGTTGTGGCCAGGATACGTTGCTTGTGGGAGGGTAAATTGGAACAACCCCTATGGAGGGCAATTTGGCAAGATCTATGAGAAATAAAGATGCATGTACCATCTGTCCCTGTGATTCTACTTCTAGGAATGAAACCTTGCAAAGGTGCAGGGTGATATGTGTGAAGTTCTTCTGGGTAACTTTTTTTTTGGGGGGGGGGAAGGGGTAACAGCAAACAACTAAAAAAAGCCTCCATCCATGGGGTTTGGTATCCATAAGTACAATGGAATTTTTTCTAGCAATGCCAAAGATAGAGAGTGCTTTGCATACTGCCCTGGCACTAATCATAGTTAAGTACAAAAGTGAAATGCAAATTCTATGTGTAGTATTCAGAGTATCTGAGCATTTGATTCTTAAAAAGTGGACTACTAGGGTTAGACTCAGTGGTATAGCACTTGTCTAGCACAGGTAGGGCCCTAAGTTCCATCCCCAAAACTGCAGAAGAAATTTTAACATATGCTGGGGACCAGTGGTTCACTCCTGTAATCCTAGCTATTCAGGGGACTGAGATCTGAGGATTGTGGTACAAAGCCAGCCTGGGCAGAAAAGTCTCTCTTTTTTTTTTTTTTTGCCCAGAGGATTGTGGTACAAAGCCAGCCTGGGCAGAAAAGTCTCTTTTTTTTTTTTGCCCATCTGGACCTAAACTCTGGGCCTGGGCGCTCTCCCTCAGCTCTTCAGCTCAAGGCTAGAGCTCTACCACTGGAGCCACAGCACCACTTTTGGCTTTTTCTGCTTATGTGGTGCTGAGAAATTGAACCCAGGGCCTCATGTATGCAAGGCAAGTGTTCTACCACTGAGCCACTTTCCCAGCCCCAGAAAAGTCTCTCATCTCCAATAAACTACTCAGAAAAAGCTGGCAGTGGAGCTATGGCTCAAGTGGTAGAATGCTAGCCTTGAGCACAAAGAGGCTCAGGAACAATGTTGAGTTCAAGACCCAGAACTGGCAAAAAAAAAAAAAAAAAAAGACAACAGGATGTATGTTTTATATATGTACATTTATACATATATACACATACATATATACTTATTTATATTATTTTTGTTGTTGGGAGTGGAGCTTGAACTCAGAGCCTGGCTGCTATCCCTGAACTTTTGTGCTGTACCAATTTGAGCCAGTGCCACTTCCAGTCTTCTGGTGGTTAATTGGAGATGAGTCTTACCAACTTTTCCTGCCCGGGCTGTCTGAACCCTGATCCTCAGACCTCAGCCTCTTGTGAAACTAGGATTACAGGGGTGAGACACCAGTACTCAGCTCTATTTTATTATTACTATTTTTGTTGCTATTGTTGTTGGTCATAGGGCTTGAACTCTGGGGCCTGGGCACTGTCCCTTACCTCTTCAGCTCAAAGCTAGGGCTTTACCATTTGAGTCATAGCACCACTTCTGGTTTTTTGGTGGTTAACTGGAGATAAGAGTCTCAGACTTTCCTGCCTGGGCTGACTTTGAACTGCGATCCTCAGATCTCAATCACCTGAGTTGCTAGGGTTATAGGCGTGAGCCACCAGTGCCTGGCTATTTTATTAATTTTTGAGGCAGGGTCTCACTATGTGACCAGCCTGATATTAATGCTTAGGTTTAAGCAATCCTCCAGCTTCAGCCTCTTCAAAAGCTTCTAGCTCACTAAAGACCTTTAGGATCATCCCTGCTCCTGACTGAGGAGAAGCACCTGGGTTGCTTTTTTGCCTGTGCTTCCTTCCTCTGGGATGGACTTGGGAGGCTGAGACCAGGTCTTGCTGTCACTCCCTATACCTGCCTAGGAGAGAGATTTCAAAACAGAGTAGAAATGAAACAGTCTTCTTCTTGCTTGTGTTTCCGGCTCCTGGCCCATTCTTTGCCAAAATTGGGAATACATTTAAAATGTAGGCTCCTCTCAGCAGGAGACTTATCTGTCTTCTGCCATGACATATTATAAGGACCTACTAAACATGAGTGGTGTCAATACATGGACCAGAGCCTCTACTTCAACAGCCAAAACTCAGCTATACCTGGAACAGAAGTCATGTTTCTGGAAGGTCTGACAAGCCAAAGGGAAGATATCCAGAAAGGCCCAGAGTGTTGTGCAGGTATCACACAGGTAGAGAATAACATCCTTTAGCTCCTGTTGCCAAGAGAGAGAAAAAACACTGCATTATTCTTGGCCCCACATACCACTCTGCAGAGGTCAAGTGAAGGTTGGACAAAGTTAAATGTCCATCAGACAGGATGTTGCTTGGTGGGGGAGGAAACAATGGATCCACCTCAGCGCTGGAAGTCTCGGGACCTGACACCACAGCCTCAGTGGGCTCACACCTGAATAGGTTGGTCACTTATAGTTCTATGAAAATACAGTATCTTCTGTTCTGGAGGAAAGCCATCCCCGGAACTTCAGTCCCCACAAGAGAATGCTCTTCCTCGGTAAAGACAAGACTATGGGGGGCTGGGAAGGTGGCTCAGTGGTACAGTGCTTGCCTTGCATGCCTGAGGCCCTGGGTTCCATTCCAGCACCACATAAGCAAAAAGAAAAAAGCCGGAAGTGGCGCTGTGGCTCAAGTGGTAGAGCGCTAGCCTTGAGCTGAAGAGCTGAGGGACAGCACCCAGGCCCAGAGTTCAGGCCCCACGACCGGACCCAAAAAAAAAAAAAAAAAAAAGACTATGGGCCGTCATTTTCCTTACATTCAGAAAGGGCAAACAGGACATGGGGTGCTAAGTCATCTGCCTTACTGATCCTCATGAAGCAGGTGACTGAAAGGATCTTTACTTCACAGATATGGAAAGATATGGAAACTGAGGCTCAGAGAAGTGAGATGATTTGTGCTACAGCCCCTAGCATGTTCTCTTCTAAGATACTTGCTTAATGGCTGTTTTCCCACCAGATGGCAAGCACCAGAAGGGTGGCTTTCAGCGTGCCACCTCCAGTGCTCAGTACAGTGCCTGGCACACATCCAGGCCCCTTAAATGCTTGCCTTCTGTCTGTTATCTTCTGTAGATGGTAAATTCTGAGACAAGTACCATGTCTGCTTTTGCTTACTGCTTTATCCCCCAAGGCCCAGTACAGTCCTGGACATGGTAGATATACTAGTGGTTCCCTCTATATACATTCACTGAATCAATGCCTGGCTCAAAGATGAACACCCCAACGAGCCTGTTGTGTATATCTAAGTGAAGACTGAATTCTAGTGCCCTGTTCTTTCCAGTCTACAAATGAAGCCTGCTAAAAATGCTCTTAACCTGTGGCATGGGGAAAAAAAAAAAAAGGCCACTTAGTCAGAGAAAGGGGCTATGAGCAGGGGAAGAAGCCAGCGGGTACAGAATTATGGCAATCTCCCTAGCCTTGAGGGAGCCGGGCTCTAGCTGGAAAGAGGTAGGCTGGAGAAAACCTTACCAGGAGAGGCATGTCACTGAGTATCAAGCGCCCTTTCTCCTCCAGCTTCTGGGGTGTGGTGCTGCCTGCATCCCCTTGCAATCCACAATGCTGGAGGATATTGCTAAAGACCTGTGAAAAGTAAGATTGCTCACATCCTGTGGAAATCTTGGCCGTCATCCCCACCCCACAGCCAGTGACAGGTGATCCCCAAAGTTCCTTGGAACCTGCAGAGTTGGTCATTCCTGGGAAACTGAGACAATGACCTTCTCAGAGGCTGGGGTCACAGAAGAAACTGTGTAAGACTTAGAAAACAGAAACAGGATTTGGAGAGGGCTCAAAACCCAGATGTGGGGCTCGGGTGGATGGTGCTTCAGTGGGAGAGCACTCGCCCAGCAAGCATGAAGCCCTGGGTTCCACCTCTAGCACTTCACACCCACCCACAAACAAATGAACAAATAAAATAAAATCAAAAGCCAAAACCACCATATGTATGTGGGAGAGATGGGGCAAATATACGATAGTGAACGCTGGAGAAACACCTTCATGGGTCATTGGATTCCTGTAGATTTTAGATCTGCTTTGTGGGAGCTATATTGAACTATATGACAAAGTGATGAAGAGGGAAAAACAGAGTCCATCACAAAATCAAGTAAGATTGACTTGACGGCGCCATCTTTAAGCAAGCTAGAATTCAGAAGTTATTTCCAAAGTTCCTGAGAGCAGTGGACATCTCTTAGTGATGAGACTTTGGAGGAAACAGTAATATCCTTTTTTGTTTTTAAGTATTTTCCATATTTTGCAATGAGCACTTTTCATAAATGAATGATTTTGTAAAACTGAAGTTCTTATTTGAGAACACAGGTCTCTTAGGAGGATATCTTTAAAGTCATATAGCTATTGGCAAACAACACAAAGTGCCGGAATGAGTATCTAACCGCCTTAAATTTTAGTGCTGTCTGAGAATTTGAAGCGACTATGTGGGGAGATGAGTCTAGAGAGAGGGCTGGAGAATAAGCACCTCCCTGCCCCTTTCTAGAAAAGCCAAATAATACCATGAAGTGGGAGAGGGTCTGCTGCCCCAGCTCCCCCCCCCTCCCCCCGACAGGACCAAGTGCTGGTACCTGAAGGATGGTGGGCATGGTTTCATCCAGGTCATTATAATAACTTGGTTGCTGGGTGAAGATGTTTCCTAGAAGAGAGAGAGAGAAGTGGGAAGTGGACAAAGGTAGACAGGAGTAGAGAGGGCACATTACCAAGTTTCAAGAATGATCTATGACATTTCTCCCTTTTCCTAGGCCTGTCTGTGGCTAGGACCTAAGACAAGGCCTCAGACCTGGCTGATACTGAGCCCAGCCTAGAAACTTCCCTAGGGCTGGCAAAGGGCCCTGTTCAATACAATTTAACTTTTTAAGCACCTCTGCCTAGTGCATTAGGTAAAAGACCTGCCCTGGTCAAACTGGCTTGTCTTCATATCCCCAGGGAGTGACCACATTTTGGGCACTGTGCCTTGTATGACAGCATTGGCTTTGAAAGTGGGAGTCAGTCATCCAGGAAAATTAGGAAATATGATCTCTTTGCTCAATAAACCTGGATACAATAATCTAGAGTTGTTGCCAGGCCATATCTCCAAAAATGTGAGGAGACTCCAGGGAGAAATTTCTCTTACCCTTTGTTTTGTGTGTGTGTGTATGAATCCTGGAGCTTGAACCTTTGTTGTGTGTGTGTATGTGTGTGTGTGTGTGTGTGTGTGTGTGTGTGAATCCTGGAGCTTGAACTCTGGGCCTAGAGCTGTTCCTAAGCTTTTTTGCTCAACCCACTTTGAGCCATTTTCAGCTTTTTTGGTAGTTAATTGGAGATAAGAGTCTCAGACTTTCCTGCCTGGGCTAGCTTTGAACTGTGATTCTCAGATGTCAGCCTCCTAAGTATAAGTAGCTGGGATTACAGGCATGAACCTGTAATGCTCAGCCTTACCCTTTACTTTTGAACATACCACCATCCCAACCCATTCTACTCCAAGCTAGAGGCTTGAGAGAGACCTGGAGATGAATTCAACTGCCACTTGTATTTGTTTGATTAAGACAGAGCTTGTCTCCATGTGTTTACCATTCTGTAACTGCTGCTGCTGTGCACATGTAGGGTACAGCATATATGGTTGCCAGAACAGAAACCCAGAGTTCCACTTCCCAAATAGGGAGGGAGAGAAGAAGGGAGGAGAATCACAGCTAGCTGGGGGACATGATGATAAGAAATGCCAGTGCCCTTAAGAGGCCAGGGCTCCTCCTTTCACTGTAACCCCAGTTTCTAAGGTGACAGTCAGCTACTCTAAATTTTACACGTCCTCTGTCTCTGGGAAAATCTGCAGTTTCCTTATTGATAATCCTGGCTTGATCCTGGAGCCTGCTGGGGCTGGGTGAGTAAGCAAGTTACTAGGTGGCTAGATTTTTCCATCAACACTTTCCTGGATGCCACTTCATTCCTGATTCCAGAAACTTGTGTTCTTCCAGTCTAGGCTTGCGCAGCTCCTCCTACCTTTTCTAGATGGATGCTGATTGTACAACCTGTGATGATGCACATGAATTATCGGTACCCACCGCCTCCTTGAGACAGGCAAGGAATGTTTTAGCTAGGCTCCCACCCCATCAGCCTCTACCCTTTCTCGTAACACTTTCCTATCCTGATCCTCAAGCTCAAGTCTGAACTCCTGACCATGGCACAGTCTATATGAGATCTGGACCCTAATGGCATCCAGGGCTACTCTTCACCCTCCATATCACAGTTCCCCCTCAAACCAATTCTCAACCTCAGACAACAAGCCTTGTCTCCTCCCACTGCCTGGAAGGACCTGCCGAAGCTCATTCCATTATAAAACAGGTGCCACCTCCTCCAGGCAGTGCTTCCTGACACAGCAAACAGGAGAGGTCTTTTCCTACAACCTCCAGGGCCACACAGTGCTCTCCATGGTGTCCTGATCGCCTGGCATGGGGGAGGACTTTCTCCTAAGACCGCTAGTGCTAGAGACTCAGTGACAGCCAGATTTTTTAAGCAACAAGATAGCTCAAATTTCACAGTCTATCCTTGGCACATCTTCTGAGTCCCTTTCCTCTTCTTTTTCTCATTCCAATGACAGTGAAGATCTTTCTAGCTTTTGATCTCTTAAAAGAAATAGTACAAAGGTTAGGGTCAGCCTGGCATCATCTGAACTGCTACTTTTTAGGCAAAAGCAGTTCAAAAGCCCAGAGTGAATGGAACTGTAGACAAACAGATCAGCACAGTTCAGGCAGGGGCCATGACCCAATTTCCTCCTGGTTTGCAAAGCAGCTCCAAGAGACATGGACTAAAAAGCCAAGCTTTCAAAGGTATGCTTGCTGATTCACAATGCCAGCCCTGAAGATTAAAAAAAAAAAAAAAAAAAAAAGGCAGGGTAAGGACTGGGCTTGCACCCACAGGACAATGAGTTTCCTTTCTCTCACTCTTTCTTCTTTGTCAATCCTCTTATAAGTGATTGCTTTGCTCAAAGTGAAGGCTGCCCTCCTGCCTTCTGCTTCAGGGTTGAAAAGAGAGCTGCTGGTTCATGCTTGCGTGTGCATAATAAAGAGAGACACTGACTGCAGGGCCCTCAGGGTGTCTGCTACTCTAAACACAAATGCACAGGGCCTGACTCTGAGGGTCAGGGTGTTAATCACCCTCCAGGAGCCAAAGAAGGGGCTCTCCTTAATAAGCTATCTTACAGTTCTCAAGCTGGGGGTCTGAGAACACTTGAAAAACACTCCTATAATGATGTGTGCAATTGTAACCTCTTTGAACAACTGTTTTGATGAAATATGGTTAAGTCTAAGAAAAAAAAAAGAACCACTTCTAGTCAGGCATAGGGGTGCACACTCATAATTTTAGCATTCAAGAGGCTAAGGCAAGAGGATATAGTGTTCAAGGCAAGCCTGGGTTACACAGCAAGTTGAGAACAGCTTAGACTACAAAGTGCTGGTCAAACTAACAAGCAAAACTCTCGAAATCTATGAAACTCACTTTTCATCTGATTCTCAAAGGATCTTGTGATTCAAAAGGAACAACAGGCAGAGGTTTCCTAGACTACTCTTCAAACTCATCTCCTCTGGATCTTCACGGCCTAACACTGGCCTCCTATCTACTCACAAATATGCCCCCGCCTCCCAAAGGGCCTTTTTCTCTATACTCAATCCCTGTTTCCTCCAGAACTGGTAAGACTTCTCTTTCCAGCTAACCTCACCACGCCCTCCTTTAATTTGCCTCCTGGATGTCCTTTTCTGCTACAGTAGCTAACTAGGCTCTCACCTTCACACCCACGCTGATGTGCCATCTCTACATGGCCTCCTGTCTCCACCCTCCCCACCTGTCTGCTGCCAGGTTAACCTTGTCACCAGATGGCTCCCTGCCCTGCTCCAAGCGCATTGAAGCTCCACCCCCTCATTGTGGCAGAGCTCACACCTGCCAAGTGCTTGTGTCCTGCCAGCATGCTGCCCACACACCTCCTATTTAGTCTCAGAGCCACCACAAAGGGAAGACACACTGCCCAATTTTTCCTTTTTCCAGATGAGAAAACTGAGGCTAAGAGAAGCTTACTGACAGCCGGGAGCTAAGATGGGATGCGATCTGGGCAGTTCAACTCAAGGCCTGCTGGTAACACTGCTCCCCAGTTGCTGAAGCCTAGCATGGATCCTTTCCAATGTGGACCCTGAGATCCCCCTCTTCCTGTCTCCTTTCGTTGCCCTCCTGAAACACTCAACTCTCACTGAAACTAGCCTAGTAATTGTTTGCTAACTAATCATACTTTCTATTGCTTACTCACTCCATCCTTTCATTCTGGAGTAAAATCATGAAAAGTCTTCCAAGGCAAAAGGAAAAAAATGATTAACAGATGATCGGGCAAGAAGTAGATGAAGAATAGATGAATACAGGGGCTGGGAAGGTGGCTCAGTGGTAGAGCACTTGCCTTGCATGCCTGAGACCCTGGGTTCCATTCCCCAGCACCACATAAGCAAAAAGAAAAAAGCCGGAAGTGGCGCTGTGGCTCAAGTGGTAGAGCACTAGCCTTGAGCTGAAGAGCTGAGGGACAGCGCCCAGGCCCAGAGTTCAGGCCCCACGACCGGACCCAAAAAAAAAAAGAATAGATGAATAAGAAATCACAGAGAGTTTTAATGAAAAGGCTGAATCTAAAATTTTATACATGAGCTAATACATTTTAAAAAATACAGCAAGAAATGACTATAGACTCTGGTATCTATTTTTCTGCTTTTTATACTTTATCTCCTTCTAAGAATATATTTTTGTGGCAGTACTGAGTTTGTACTCAGGGCCTTATCCTTTTTTTTTTTTTGTCGGTCATGGGGCTTGAACTCTGGGCCTGGGCGCTGTCCCTCAGCTCTTCAGCTCAAGGCTAGCACTCTACCACTTGAGTCACAGAGACACTTCTGGTTTTCTGGTGGTTAATTGGAGATAAGAGTCTCAAGGAGTTTCCTGCCCTGGCTGGCTTTGAACTGCGATCCTCAGATCTCAGCCTCCTGAGTAGCTAGGATTACAGGTGTGAGTCACTGATGCCTGGCTCAGGGCCTTATACTTTCTAGGTAAGTGCTCTACAACTTGAGCCATGTTCCTAGCCCTTTGCCATGTTAGTTATTTTTTAAATAGGGTTTACGACATATTGCTTACAGCCAGGATTATAGACATGAATCATCATGCTTGATCTAAAATATTCTCCATTAACATGTATTACCTATTAAGGGGGAAGAGAGAAAGGAAGGAAATGGAGATAGAAGAGGGGAGGTGGAAATGAAGGAAAAGAAAGGAAAGATAGGAGGGAAGAAAAGGATGGAGACAAAGAAGGGAGGGACAGAGAGAGAGGAGGGGAGGGAGATTTTCATAAAGGTGAACTCAGTTTTGCAAGCAGATATTTAGGAGACTGTGTCCTACAGTCTCAGGAGGAAGCGGCTAGCAGGGGTATCCAGGTGAAGCCATCCCTGAAGGCCTCAAGCTGCAACTGAAGGAGGAATACATTGGAGTGTTACCTTTATGATATTCCACTACCACTGCTTCTGATTGAACCGTCTAGCTTACAGCCATCTGATAAGCTCAAACTGCTGACATCTGTGCCATTCACAACCTCAACCCTCTGAAATTTGTCCCAATCTGATCTCAGCAACGTAGTAAATCATGTCATTTTTGAGGTGGCCCTATTATCCCTGAAGTAAGGAGCAAAAAGAATGACAGCTCCAGGGACAGATCTCCAAGGCCAGCATGGCTACTTAGTAGTCATGTACTGTCAGCCAAGTCCTCTGCAGTCCAACCTTAGTCTTCTCATCCATAAATGGGGAGAGTGATGGCATTTGTCTGAGAGCTGCTGTGAGGATTCAGTGGAGATAAAAGATGTGATGTGTGCTGGTGCTCAGTGCTACACTTCAAAGACTAACTACTGCTATTCTGACTTTCACTGTCAAAGCCAACTTCTGCATTCCTGCCTTTGATTGACACTTGGATGAACCCTAAGATTTCCAGATCCTTGAGCAATTGTGTGGCTCATATTTTTATGGCCCCTCCCCTTCCCCTAGTTGCCATCTAGTTATCTCTTTCAGAGTAGATATTCATATATGCATAAAGTAATTTCCTAACACTACTTGGTCTATTGCCTGATTCCTCTTGCTCTCTAAGCACCAGCTTTTGTGGCTCTGGCTGGGTGGGTGGCTGCTGTCTGTGCTTTCTGTAAGCCCCACGTCCCACGCACCTATCATCTTCTGGAGTAGTGGTGAGTTGCCTTTTCCAAAGAGCACACAGAGGTCCAGGATCTTTGGGATGTCGAACAGGAAGTTATTGTAGAGGATTTCTCCAAATGCAGAGGGGGAAATGAAGTGATCCTAGGGGGAAGTGCAGAGAGTAAATGGAGACTGAATGCTTATACACTGTGCAGTCATAGTAAAACCAAGAAAACAACCTTCAGGCCTGTAAAGTGAGGACTGACTCATTGATTATGGTCTTTCTGCACCATGGACATGCCTACAGACCCAAGACAGCAGCCATTTTATTTGAGTGGAAATAGGAGGAAAAAACCCACCATCAAACTGTCAGCTAGGGTTTCATTCTGAGCTATGTGAGAGTAAATCAGCACGATGTCTGGAATGGCATAAATATACTCCAAGAAAAAGAGTAAATCAAGAGAGAAAGATAAAACAAGATCAGCAAAATATCACTAAGTGTTGAAGCTGGATGATGGGATCTACTGTACCTCATGTGTAAAAGATCTGCATAGGTATATGCGTATTATCTGAAAACTTACATACCAAAAAGGTGTTTTCTTTTTTTGTGTGTGTATGCTAGTCCTGGGATTTGAACTTAGGGCCTAGGTGTGTGGTCCCCTAGGCTAGTACTCCACCACTTGAGCCACAGCTCCACTTTCAGCTTTTTTAGTGCTGAATAAGAGTCTCACAGAGTTTCCTGCCTGGGATGGCTTTGAACTGTGATCTTCAGATCTCAGACTCCTAAGTAACTAGGATTATAGGTATAAGCCAACAACACCCAGCTATATTCATTCTTTCTTCTTTCCTTCCTCCTTTTCTTCCCTCCCTCCCTCCCTCCCTCCCTCCCTCCCTCCCTTCTTCTCCCCTCCTTCTCTTCCTCTCTCTCTTTTTAAAGTCAGTCCTGGGGCTTGAACTCTGGGCCTGGGTGCTGTTCCTCAGCTCTTCAGAACTTAAGCCACAGTTTTCTGGTGGTTAACTGGAGATGAGTCTCACGGACTTTCCTGCCCAGGCTGGCTTTGAACTCCTTAGATCTTATCCTCCTGAGTAGCTAGGATTACAGGCATGAACCACCAGCACCAGGCATATTTTTCTTTCTTAAAGATTCTTTTTCTGGTTTTGTGGTGCTAGGCAAGCATACTGCCACAAAACTATACCCTCAGGGCCTGGGCACTATCCCTGAGCCTCTTTGTGCTCAAAGCTAGCACTCTACCACTTGAGCCACAATACCACTTCTGAGTTTTTTCTGCATAGTTTATTGGAGATAAGAGTCTCACAGACTTTCCTGACCAGGCTGGCTTCGAACTACAATCCTCAGATCTCAGCTTCCTGAATAGTTAGGATCACAGGCGTGAGCCACTAGCCCAGTTTTATAACTTCTCTTGAAATACACAGCTCCTATATAAAAGCAGTAGCTGGCCCTGAGCCACTGGCCCTGAACCACTGGCGCCTGGCTCCAAGATCCTATTTTAAAAATTCCAATTTTCCCAAAGGAACAAACTTTCCTGAAAGATCACTAACATTAGCCAGGAGCTGGTGGCTCACACCTGTAATCCTAGCTACTCAGGAGGCTGAGCTCTGAGGATCGTGGTTCAAAGCCAGCCCGGGCAGGAAAGTCCATGAGACTCTTATCTCCAATAAACCACACAGAAAATCAGAAATGGCGCTGTGGTTCAAGTGGTAAGAGTGCTAGCCTTAAGCTGAAGAGCTGAGGGACAGCACCTCGGCCCAGAGTTCAAGCCCCACTACCACCACCACCGCCAACAAAAAGATCACGAACCTTAATTGTGGCCAGTCTGGTGAGTTCTTTTTTCTTTCTGAGGTTCTGGGCTTTTAATTCAGGGCTCTTGCTTGCTAGGCAGGGGTACTACACCACTTGATCTACACTCCCCATCCTGACAATGGTGACTTTGGGGTAGGGGACTTTTGAGAAGACATTCAATATCCATTTGATATTCCTGTAATATTTGAGTTGTTTAGACAAAATGACTTTTTTTTGCCATAGTAAGAATGGAACCCAGAGCTTTATGTAAGTAGGCAAGTGCTCAACCACTGAGCTACACCCCTAGCCCAGTAATGACTTTTTAAAAGAGTATACAAGTTTCTGGAAGAAGTCAGAATTGTTGTTTTCGCCCTGTAATGCATGAGCACAGGCAGTCACATGTCACCTGGCAAAGAGCCCTCAGCTCCCATTGATGAAAACACTGGGTGTAATGTAGATAGGCCAGTACACTAGAAGCTAGGGAAGGTGGCACAGATTTCCTTCCCAATGGTGGGTATAAAGGTGAAGAGGAGACAAAGAGGAAACCTGATGCTTCCAGACCCTTCCTTCCCAGGGGTGGGGAGGCCAACAGAGGTGTCAGGTGTCAGGTGGTGATCTGTCAGGGGACTGGAGGCTTACTTTGGATTCCTTGTGAGTGGACATGCGGAGGAAGGTGAGGAAAATGCTTCGGTGTAGGTGCTTCTGCATATCTGCAACCTCAGGGGTGGGGGCCACCCACTCGTCGAACTTTCGGGGCACATAGTGCAAGTAGGAGTCCAGGCACTTCTGCAGAGTCTCATCGAAGATGACCTAAGCCAGGTGACAGAGGAGAACGAGGACTGAAGGCTGAGGGCCAAGTGCTTGCAGCAGACTGCACAGGGGCTTACTGCCCATCAGCCCTGGCCTAGTGCAAACACTCCAACCCCAAGGGACCAAGGAGGTACAAATGAGCCGAGGGCTACACACACATCTCTTAAAATGACACTTGGAAGCTGTGTAAGCATCACTAGGATTGTGATATGAGACAGAGCAATCCAAACCACAATTTGCTGTTAAGGATCCAGGCTAAGAGTAGACACACAAAAAATAAAAAAATAAAAAAGCACCTCCTGGGGGGGGGCGGGGAGGGAGGCAGGGAGAAAAACACCAGCAACCAACCAAACGGCATGTCATGTGTTTTGTCTTAGCATTAATTTTGATAGAATGTTACCTGGCACCAGAATTTATCGTGAGGCAAGGCCAGGAGCCAGTCGAGGTCATTGGCTACGAAGGTGGCGCGCTCCAGGTACTCCTCCACTAGGGCGGGGATGTTGTCTTTAGGGGGCGGTTTGTATAACACAAAATACCGGTCTGCCTTCTGCTCGGGGTGCTAGGGATCCAAAAACCACGTGTTAACGTGGCAGAGGTTAGTCAGCGAGGGCCCATTTGCCAACACACAGCAATGACAACACTTGGCTGTTCCACCTGGTGACCCTCCAAGGAGCTTTCGACAGAAAGAACCAAGTGTATCTAACAAAGGAGGGATGGCTGCTCCCAGAGAACACAGGTGGTTGTTTAAAAACCACGTACCTGAGGGCTTTAATGACATGGGGAAAGGTTAAGAGAAGACAAAGCAGGATACAAAGCTCCATTAATAAAATCAGGGGTTTTATGGTTTGTTTTTAAAGACTAGATATTCACACATTGGTACAGATTTGTGTTTGTTAGTTTTCTCTGTGTGTGTGTGTGTGTGTTTGTGTGTGTGTTTTTCTCCTTTGAGACAGGTAGCCCAGGCTGGCCTTTAATTTGTGATCGCTGGTACAGGTTTACAAAAACAAAGTGGTGGAGACAAAAATTCCAACTAATAGTAGTTAATTAGGAGAGAGGACTGAGGCTTGAACATACTTTCTGATTTTTAGACAATGGTCATGTATTGTTTTAAATTAAGGTTTAATTATGTAAGTGAGAGATGAGCACCTTTTCCTTCAAAAGGAAGGTACAGCTCAGTAGCAGAGTATGTGCTCAGCATGAGTGATGCCCTGGGTACAAGCCCCACTCCCCCAAAAAAAAGGAAAACAGGAAAGAGGGAAGGAGGAAAGGGATGAGGGGGTGGGAGGAAGAAGAGGGAAGGAGGGAAAGAAGAAGTGAAGGAGGGAGGGAAGAAGAGAGGGGGAAGGAAGGAAGGAAGAATGGGAGGGTGGGAAGGAGGGAGGGAGGGGGAGGGGGGGAGGAAAGAAAGAAGACAACGTTACACAGATGCGTCATCTGGGATCACACTCCTAGTCCTTTTGACCTCCCAGAGGAAGCCACTTGCCATCTGCTAGGGTCCTGGGATGTGGGGTCCTCCTAGGCCTTCTTGGCATTTACATTAAAATACAGCCTTATGAAGCATTTGTGCACATTTTTTACTTTCTGACACAAATGTACAAATCACTGTGGGTTTTTTTTCTTTGTTTTATTGTGAAAATACTGTACAGAGGGGTTACAGTTACATGGGCAAGTTGTTTTTTTTTTAGTCACTAAGCTTATGAAAGAAAAGATGCCAATCAAGTAGTCGCAGGTCTCAGAGTCACAGCTCTCTCAGCCCAGACCATACTGTGAACAGACCTCACCATGAGAGGAGAGATGGACTACAAGAGGGTGGTTTTCTCTGGAAGCGGTAAGTAATAGGAGGAAGGCTGGCAATGTCTGAGTCTGTTATTAATCACAGTCCCCAGATAGAGGATCCCATGTCAGGCCAAGGGATATAGAACCATCCAGACTGATGGTGTAGCCTCCTCAAGAACCATCGAGGCCTTCCCACTGCCCAATGCAAGTTTGCAAACTATGGAGGCACTGGGTTCCACAAGAATTCATCAGGGCCATCGAGCACATGGGTCTGTAGGACCCTTTCCCATTTAAATCTCATATAGTAAGCTTCGAGCCCCAAATCTATTGCAAAAAGAAGGCTGCTGCTCAGTGCCAGTGGCTCACATTGTTACATTAGCTACTCAGGAGGCTGAGATCTGCCAGGCCAGGCAGGAAAGTCTGTGTGACTCTCATCTCCAATTAACTTCCAAAAAAGCTGGAACTGGAGCTGTGGCTGAAGTGGTAGAGTTCTATCTAGCCTTGAGCAAAAAAGCTCAGGAACAGTGTTTCAGGTCTTGAGTTCAAGGCGCACGCACACACGCACACACACACACACACACACACACACACACACACACACACACACACACACACACACACACGAAGGCTGCTGACTAAACATAAGTTCACCTCCTTAGCTCCCAAGTTGTCTTCTTCTTCCTCTTGGGTTGACAATTTATCTCTTAGATTATCTTTCAAGTCAGGCTACTCATTCTTCCAACACACACACACACACACACACACACACAATATCTCTACAATCCCACTGACATTAACTATGGGAGACCCACTATACCAAGAGTGGAGGACATATGAATAAAGCATTCAGGTACTCCAGAGGGGAAGATGTACATCCAGGCCACCAAGGAGCCCGGAAGAGAAGCAATCGCTCAAAACTGACGAGGGGCTGGGAAGGTGGCTCAGTGGTAGAGCGCTTGCCTTGCATGCCTGAGGCCCTGGGTCCGATTCCTCAGCACCACATAAGCAAAAAGAAAAAAGCCGGAAATGGCGCTGTGGCTCAAGTGGTAGAGTGTTAGCCTTGAGCTGAAGAGCTGAGGGACAGCGCCCAGGCCCAGAGTTCAAGCCCCACGACCGGCCCCAAAAACAAAAAACAAATCAAAACTGACAGGATCACAGGAGCATGGAAGGAAACTAAGAGCACCTGGAGGACAAGGGACAGCTTCCTAGGACAGACAGATCAGAGCTAAGCTTTAGAGGAAAAGGAAGTATAGGTAGAAGAAACTGCATATACATATACACTTTTTTTTTTTTTTTGGTGTGCTGGGGTTTTAACTCAGGGCTCTATACTTGGTAGGCAGGCATTCTATTATTTGAGTCCAGCCTCTGGTCCTTTTTGCTTTCATTATTTTTCAAATAAGGTCTCATTTTTGCCTGAACTGGCTGGGACTGGCATCCTCCTATTTATGTTACTTGAGTAGTTAGAATAGGAGATGTGGACTCCTATTTTTGGTTGGTTGAGATGGAATCTCATAAACTTTTTGCCTGGCTTGGAACGTCTTGATCTCAGCCACCTTCATGAGTAGCTAGAATTACAGGTAGGAGCTACTTTGTCTGGCTAAAAAGCAGTATTTTGATAGAAGCATAAAAAAATGGGTCACAGAATGTACACTGGGAAAAGGACTTGAAGGGTGCTGAATAACAATAAGGAAAGCTAGCACATATTGAGGACCTGCCCTGAGCCAGCTGCTGAGCAGGTCAATTTCGTTCTTATCTATATAACTAGATAAAATAGTCTTCTCCTCATTTTCCAGAAGAGGAAATGGAGACTCGTTAAGGCCCAAGACCTTTCCTAAGGTCTTGGGGTTATGGCAGCAAGTAAAACAGATCTTAAAGCAATGCTCACCTAGGAGACCTATTAATTGACCTATGGTACTCACCTGTATCCTGATTTCATTGCTTGTCCTTTGGACCCTGGATCTGATCTCACCCCCTCCAGAAAGCCTTCATTATTCTGACCCCAGCTGCATTAGGGGTCTACCTGGGCTCTCTCTCAGCCTTTGTGCTCTGTGCCAACCTGACTGTGACATCTTTTGAACTGCATCAAAAATGCTTTCAGGACAGTAGTTACAGAACCAGGGGAGAGAGGAAGGGCATAAGGAGACTTTTAGGGGTAGAAATGATAGGAATGTAAATACTTTCCATTGTGGTGTTGGTTTTGTGAGTATTTTACCAATATTAAAACTAATCAGGGCTGGGAAGGTGGCTCAGTGGTAGAGCGCTTGCCTTGCATGCCTGAGGCCCTGGGTTTGATTCCTCAGCACCATATAAGCAAAAAGGAAAAAGCTGGAAGTGGCGCTGTGGCTCAAGTGGTAGAGCACTAGCCTTGAGCTGAAGAGCTGAGGGACAGCACCTAGGCCCAGAGTTCAGGCCCCACAACCGGACCCCCCAAAAAATAAAAAATAAAGAATAAATAAAACCAATGAAACTGTTGACATGGAGAATGTTCCAGCTTACTGTACTTCAATGATAACTCAAAAAGTTACATAAAAGGGGGCCACCTTCTCAGCTGTGTCCCCCACTGGCTGGCAGAGAATCCCCAGCTCTGAACAGAGTCTGATACCAAGCTGACTCTATACACATTTTCAAAAAGAATGAATGGAATTAACAAATGGCCAAATCCTGCCAAGATAGCCAAAGGACCTTGAATATCAAGCTCAACAAGAGGGCCTCTACTCTGAGGTGACCTCGCCTATTGAAGTTCATGAGCCTGGTTTAAGTCCTGCCTGTTCTGGGAAACTATGAGAACATTCACTGCTCATCAAACTTCAGTGCATCTTGATAAGAACTCATTTTGCACTGTTCTCCAAAGGCACCGCTTATCTGAGTCTTATCTGCAGGAGGGCACTCACTCATTCTACTCCCAAGGTGTATTTCTTGTGGGTCCTTCAAACATGCACTTTTTTTTCCCCCCCGCCAGTCCTAGGGCTTGAACTTGGGGCCTGAAAACGTTCCCTGAGCTTCTTTATCTCAAGGCTAGCACTCTACCACTTGAACCACAGCACCACTTTTGGCTTTTTCTGTGTATGCGGTACTGAAGAATCAAACCCAGGGCTTCATGCATGCTAGCAAGCACTCTATCATTAAGGCGCATTCCCAGTCCCAGCACGTACAATTTAAAAAGAGTAGCCACCCAATAAACACTTGTTCCACTGATCATCCTGCAAAAGGCAACATGGCTGGAGATCTTTGGATCTCAAGTTGGGACTCCAGACACAAATGCCAGTAGGTACTTCTTAGGGCAATCTGAGAGAATAATGTGCTCAGTGCAGCTCAAAAGACCCTTCCTCACCCAGGCAGCTGCCTCCTTCAGCTTGTCCCTCTTCTCATCCTAGCCCTCAGTCAATGCTAGTCACAATCACAACTGCAAGAGTGCTTACTTACTACGTGTTAGACACAGTGGGAAGAGACAGACTATTTCATTCTTGCTGCCACCTCCCCAAGCTCAGCCTTTGATTACCTGCTTTTGGATCTTGATTGCTTAACAAAGTGAACGTGCCAAATATATGTGAGATGAATGCAAAGCCTGTTCTTGTTAGCTCTATTCTGCCCCCTCTTCCAATCATTCATGGTGTTAAAGCCAGGTTCCCTCAATACTCCAGCACCTCCCTTCTGTCCCTACTCTGTCCAGCTAGTCCTTACTCACCCTCCAACATCCTGTTCAGAACCCCTCTCATCCAATAAGTCATCCAAAGACCTCCTTGTCCCTGCCAATCCTCCCATTACGTCCACCCCCCAAGTCTAGATCAGTGGCTTGGGCTCTGCATTTCTGTCACCACGTGGCTTTCCTTCTACCCCAATCCTGAGCACACTGTCTGTTCTTCTCTTAGGTGATGGGCTCCCCAAGAGTAGAAATCATAACTTCTCTTTTTTTGTAACTCCAGGACCTGACAACAAGCCTAGCTTACTAAATACTTCCTGAGAGCTGCCTTCTATGCATTGAGCACTAAGCCAGAAGTGAAAAAAAAGGAACCAGGTCCCTGAAGGACTGAGGCAGAAACTTAGACTCAAACACCACTCAGACTCAACTACTAACTTTCTACCAACATTAGTGTCTATATTATCTCTAGAAACAGCCCAGAAGGCCCTCCACCCATGGGATGATTTTCATATACATTAATTAAAATTGCAGCTCCAATGGATACAGAGAGTCACACCTGCAGTCCTAGCTACTTGGGAGGTGGCAAATAGAAGGATTGGAAGTTTGAGGCCAGCCTTGGGTGTAAATGTGAGAGCATTCCTCAATCAATAAAAAAAGCTGAGCATACTGGTATACACCCGTCATGCTAGATACATGAAATAAATAAATAGGAGGATCACAATCCAGGCTGCCCCTAGGCATAAACATAAGACCTCATTTGAAAAGTAACAAAAGTAAAAAAAAGCCTGAAGCATGGCCCAAGGAGCACTGCACTTGCCTAGCAAGAAAAGAACAGAAAAAAACAAAAACAAAAAAGACCCCACCAGTTTCCCAGTCTACATTTTAAGCACCAGTCACACTCATTACAAGTGCTCAAAGCTACATGTGGCAAATGGCTACCTATTAAAGAGCACTAGCTTTTCTGGCAAAGAGCTTCCATGCATAAAAAGGCCATGAAAAGGAAATAAGAGCTTTAACTGCAAAAAACAAAAACAAAAACAGTTCAGGGTAGGGCTGGGAAGATGGCTCAGTGGTAAGAGTGCTTGCCTTGCATGCATGAGGCCCTGGTTGGATTCCTCAGCACCACATAAGCAGAAAAAACCAGAAGTGGCGCTGTGGCTCAAGGCTCAAGTGGTAGAAGACTGCCTTGAGCTGAAGAGCTGAGGGACAGCGCACAGCCTGAGAATTCAAGCCCCACAACCAAAAACAAAACTTCAGGGTATGAGTTCTGGGGTCAGCCTGGTTGGGTCCCTATCCTGTCCCTCCTGATTTCCTAGTTCTATGATCTTGAACTCACAATTTCCTTATTTGTTAAATCAGGATGATGATGAAAATACTTGTTCACAAGGCCAGGATTCAGCTTAACTGAGATAATCTGAGTGAAGCACTTAGAATGGCTTGGCCCAGAGTGAGCACTCTAAAACAGGTTAGCTACTATTACTAGATACTGTTGAGGAAGTAATAAGCAACCATCCAGAAAGCAGGAAATAAAACACCTACCTCCTGTTTCCCACGACTTTACTCGAGCCTATAGAAAATACTTCTTCCCACCTTGTTCAAGTAAACTCATATTCTTGGGAAATCAACAAGTGGGTATGGGGACTGGAGTCCCTGAGTCTGTCTCCTCCTTGAGTAGCCTGGCACGTCTCCACGGCTCTAATCTCTCTCTGCAGCTGGGAATCAGAAGGTTCACAGCCTCCTTAGCTTTCACGCTCACAGGCCTTGGCTGAGTCTGTATCTGGCCTTTCTTATCCCTGGTGAGATAAAAGAGGGCCCTGCCGCTGAGATCAGTGTTCCCACTCAAGTGTGGGGGAACAGCTCAGGCAGCTCTGCAAAGTCCTACCTGAAACATGAACACCCACCCAGGACCCAATCTCCAAACTCAGCTTTGGAGCCATTTGGAGCCCAGTTTGGCCTGAGTCAGAACTGCCATTGGACTGATTGTAAAGCAAAGTTTTTTGTTTTTGTTTTTTGGGGGGGCAGTAACATGGAAACTTCTACTCAAGTGCAGGCTGATGCTTAGAAGGAAACTTCCACACTAGGCCTGAAAAGGCTTAGTAGGGTCTCCGCTACTGAATTACTGACCATGGCCCTCGGGTCATTCTTGGATAAGGAAGGAATTTACTTTTGCTTCTGAAATTGCAAGGTTGATGATATCAGGCTGAATGGCCTCAAGGCACTGGCTCACCAGCGCTGGTGAAGTCCTCGGCTTTCCTGTCTTCGGGTCCTTGTGGGTGATCTGGAGTTGGTCCAGGGGCAGAGCTGGCATTGTGCTGCACGACCCTCCTGAAAGGAATACGGATGGGAAGAAGAGAGCAGACACACAGATTCTTGGGGGTCAGGGCCTGCTCTGGGGTGGAACCCAGAGCCAGAGAGAAGCATTCCCTCACCCCCCTCCCAGCTACCTGCACCGTAGGGAGCTTCCAGATGAGACCTCTTAAGCTTTGGTTGGTCTATATGGATCAAAGTGATGCCTTTTTACCTAAAGCAGCAGTGCTTAACTGTAGAGGGAAATACTTCCCAGATGACTCCCACTCACTCTATGTAGTGGCTGAAAGTACCTAGATTCTCTTTATTATTATTATTTTTCTGTGTGTAAGGTTCGCTGAAAGGAGACCACCACATGGTTCAGGCAAAAAAAAAAAAAGAGTTTATTGCGGGGGGGGGGGGGGGGGGAGGGGGGAGATGCCGGATGGGAAGGGAAGAGGGAGAGCAAACATGAGGTGGAGGCATGCAGAGAGAGAAGGGACGAAGGAGTGGAAAAGACCTTGTGGTTCAAACAGATTATATAGGGAAAGGTGAGGAGGAGGTGTGACCACAGCAGATGTGGAAGTGACCTCAAAGCCCGAGGAACCTATCATTGTCTGAAGGACGGCTGACTGGGGTGGTTTAGAAAATGACCTCAGCAGATAAGGAGATGACCTCAGAGTCTGGAGTCCTTTGCTTACTCAAAGTCAGGTGATTGACAGTCAGGTGATTACTGGTTTCAGGCAGGTGATTTCTGGTAAGGCTGGTGCTGTCTTTCACGAAGATGAAGTAGGGAGGGGACTGTTCTCCCAGGCAGACCTAAGAGCTTGCACTCTGGGCCTGGGTGCTATCCCTGAGCTTTCGTGTTCAAGGGTAGGTAGCCCTCTACCACTTTGAGCCACAGCTCCAAATCCAGTTTTTAGATAGTTTATTGGAGGTAAGAGTCTCCTGGACTTTCCTGCCTAGGCTGGCTTTGAACTGCCATCCTTAGATCTTAGCCTCCTGAGAAGCTAGAATTATAGACATGAGCTTACCAGTACCTGGTTTTTTGTGTGTGTGGGGGAAATAGTATATAAGTACTCTACCACTGAGTCATAGCTCCAGCTTCCTACATTACCCCCCACCCCCTTTTTTCTTTGCCGGTCCTGGAGCTTGAACCCTGGGCCTAGGTACTGTCCCTGTGCTCCAAGGCAAGCATTCTACCACTTGAACCACAGCTCTACTTCCAACTTTCCTGCCTGGGCTGGCTTGGAATAGTGATCCTCAGATCTAAGCCTCCTGAGTAGCTAGGATGATAGGTATGAGCCACCAGTGCCAGGCTTACATTATCTTTATAATGACTCCAGCTCTGCACCCTGCAGACTGGACTCTGTAAAGACATTGCTCAGGAATCTCCTTTTGCTGCCTTTCTCAGGACCAGCTCAGGTCTAGAACAGATGCAGCCTCACTAAATGGTTGACAATAACTAACTATGAGGTCACTCTTCTCATAACTCTCCCAAGATCTTAAGATTGGAGCCATTGGCCCCTCCTCCCTCGTCTTTCTACAAGATTTTCCGAACTCTTAAAGTTCCAAGGGCAAACAACTCAAAGAATACAAGGGCAAGGAGGAAGATAAAATGCAAATGATGCAAACTCCTCCAGAGACACAAATTGGTCTCAAAGCCAGGGAGTTAGGCTTGAGTTAAGTATATGCAAGGAACTCAGTTCAATCTCAGCATTAAAAAAAAAAAAAAAAAAGCCAGGTGCTAGTGGCTCATGTGTAATCTTAGCTACAAAGGAGGCTGAGATCTGAGAATTGTGGTCCAAAGCCAGGCCAGAGAGGGAAGTCCACGAGACTCTTATCTCCAATTAACTAGCAGAAAACTGAAAGTGGCGCTGTGGCTCAAAGTGGTAGAGCACTAACCTTGAGCAAAAGAGCTCAGGGACAGCACCTAGGCCTTGAGTTCAAACCCTACTGACTGCCCCCCCCCCCAAAAAAAATGCTAGGGAATGGCAAATCCCAAATCTGCTGTCTTCCAATTCTAACATTCTCTTCCACACTAAAACTTGACCTCATTCACAGAAGGGATATACATGTGGGCTGAATCACGGAATGTAAATAAATAAGGACTCTCAAAAGACACACTATTAAAAAGCCAACATGTGTGGGAAGCAGTGGCTAACGCCTATAACCTTAGCCACTGAGGAGGCTAGGATCTGAGGATTGTGGTTCAAAGCCAGCCCGGGTAGGAATGTCTGTGAGACTCTTACCTCCAATTAATCACACACACACACACACACACACACACACACACACACACACACACACACACACACACACTAATGAGGATGAAGGGCTGGGAATGTGGCTTAGTAATAGAGTACTTGCCTAGTATGCATGAAGCCCTGAGTTCGATTCCTCAGTACCACATAAACAGAAAAAGCCAGACCTGGCACTGTGGCTCAAGTGGTAGAGTGCTAGCCTTCAGCAAAAGAAGCTTAAGGACAGTGCTCAGGCCTTGAGTTCAAGCCCCAGCAAAAAATAAAATAAAAAGATGATGAGAGTTGGCCGGGCGCTGGTGGCTCACGCCTGTAATCCTAGCTACTCAGGAGGCTGAGATCTGAGGATCGTGGTTCAAAGCCAGCCCGGGCAAGAAAGACCATGAGACTCCTATCTCCAATAAACCACCAGAAAACTGGAAGTGGCGCTGTAGCTCAAGTGGTAGAGCGCTCGCCTTGAGCTGAAGAGCTGAGGGACAGCGCCCAGGCTCAGAGTTCAAGCCCCACGACCGACAAAAAAAAAAAAAGATGATGAGATGATGATGATGATGATAATGATAATAATAATAATAATGCCAGAATGTTGTTGTGGCTCAAGTGGTAGAACACTGGTCTTCAGCAAAAAAAAAAAAAGCTAAGGGGCTGGGAAGGTGGCTCAGTGGTAGAGCACTTGTCTTGCATGCATGAGGCCCTGGGTTGGATTCCTCAGCACCACCTAAGCAAAAAGAAAAAAGCCGGAAGTGGCACTGTGGCTCAAGTGGTAGAGTACTAGCCTTGAGCTGAAGAGCTGAGGGACAGCGCCCAGGCCCAGAGTTCAGGCCTCACGACTGGGCCCCCCCCGCCCCCCCAAAAAAAGCTAAGGGGCAGCATCCAGGCTCTGAGATCAAGCCCCAGTATCAGAACTGAAAAAAACCTACTATCTTACTAGCCTTTCAAAATAGTCAAATAAATATGACAAGGGTTATTAAGGTAAAATATCCAAAAAAGTGGAGAAGTTCCTAATTTGTTTTAGTGGCTAAGTTGAAACGGATATCCACCTCTTTTACCTTTGTACATGGGGGCTCATGGGAGGAACAAGCTAAATGATAATTTTTTCCTAATTCCCAGTGAGGCTGGCAGGCAAATGGAAACACACCTGCACTCTAGTGTCCAGCGCTGCACTAATGCAAAAGTCTAAATAGCTCACAGACCTAGTTCTTTCCAGGCTCATCCACCAGAGAGGAAGCAAGAATATCAGGAATGGGAGCTGAAGGTAGGAAAAAGTCATACAGAGGAGGCATCTCTCCGCCCTTTAAATTCTAGACCTCAGCCAGGCGCTGGTGGCTCACGCCTGTAATCCTAGCTACTCAGGAGGCTGAGATCTGAGGATCGCGGTTCAAAGCCAGCCCGGGCAGGAGAGACCGTGAGATCCTATCTCCAATAAACCACCAGAAAACCGGAAGTGGCGCTGTAGCTCAAGTGGTAGAGCGCTCGCCTTGAGCTGAAGAGCTGAGGGACAGTGCCCAGGCCCAGAGTTCAAGCCCCACGACCGACAAAAAAATAAATAAATAAAATAAAATAAAATAAATAAATTCTAGACCTCAGTGTCCAGACCTAGATAGAGACAACACCTGCTTCTCTAAGAAATGCACTATTAGCCAGGAGCTTGTGGCTCATGCTTGTAATCTTAGCTACTCAAGAGGCTGAGATCTGAGGATCATGGTTCAAAGCCAGCCAAGGCAGGAAAGTCCACAAGACTCATTTCCAAACACCAGAAAATCAGAAGTGGCACTGTGGTTCAAAGTGGTAGAGTGTTAGTCTTGAGAAAAAAAGAGCTCTAGGATAGTCTCCAGGCTTTGAGTTCAAGTCCCACCCCTGAGAAAGAAGGAAGGAAGAAGGAGGAAAGAAAGGAAGAAAGGAAAGAAGGAAGAAAGAAGGGACGGAAGGAAGAAAGAAAGAAAGTCATTATTAAGGCAAGGGCAGTTCAGGATGAGGCTAGTGGGGCAGATGAAGAGAGTTCCACCACATTCTTAGTTGGGGGTCAGCTCTTTGTTCCACATTTTCCTACTCATGCTGAAAGCTTGAGGCACTTCCTTAAACCTCCCCACTCTCGATTCATCAGATAGTAGAATTATACATGATCTCTTAAGCTTGCTGTGAGAAGTAATCAATGCTAAGCATCTAACACAATACCTGGTGCATCCAAGAACTCCAGTTGAGGTGTGAGTAGGCAAATCCCACCAACAGGCACCATGGACTTCCTCCTTTATTTAACAAACACCAACTGAATACATTCTGGGCCCCAAATGACTCTCATTTGATGTTAGAGCTGTACCAGTAAACTGTCAAACTGGAGCCCAGGAGAAAAGAGAGGAAGTCACAAAGATGACATAACCAGAATGTTAAAGGATAGGAGGAAAAGGTGGACACTCTATAGGAAGAACAAACTTGAGCTGAGACTCAGGGCCATGAAAAGTGTGGCGTTTGCAGGAAGAGGAAGACAGCTGATGTTACTGAAAACACAAGGTCAAGGAAAGGATGATGGAAGTGAAGAGAGAGCAGGTTGATAAGGATGATGGAGGGGCTGGGAAGGTGGCTCAGTGGTAGAGTGCTTGCCCTGCATGCCTGAGGCCCTGGGTTCGATTCCTCAGCACCACATAAGCAAAAAGAAAAAAGCCGGAAGTGGCTCTGTGGCTCAGGCCCAGAGTTCAGGCCCCACGACCGACCCAAAACAAAAAAAGTACAAGGATGATGGAGTCAGTTTAAAAAGAGCCTTAAGCCGAGCACCGGTGGCTCATGCCTATAATCCTAGCTACTCAGGAGGCTGAGATCTGAGGATCGCAGTTCAAAGCCAGCCCGGGCAGGAAAGTCCGTGAGACTCTTATCTCCAATAAACCATAGAAAACCAGAAGTGGCACTGTAGCTCAAGCGGTAGAGCGCTCGCCTTGAGCTGAAGAGCGCAAGGACAGCACCCAAGCCCAGAGTTCAAACCCCATGACCTACCAAAAAAAAAAAAAAAAAGAGCCTCAAATGAGAGGCTAAAAAGCTTGACCTTTTATGTGAAGGCCATGAGGAGTCCCAAGAAGAGGGAAGAGACACAACCAACAAAGATATAACCTGGGGATAGGCAATCTCCTATGAACTCATGAATAGTAAACAGTACTGTATAATCATTTTATCCAGAGATGTTTCAATATCTACTATATGGCAGGCATTGATGACCAGGTAACACTAAAGTTGGCAAAATACAGGCTTAGACTTACCCTTCACAAGTTCTTTGTGGGAATGACGGATACAAATCTAGCCACACAACAATATAGCAATCAATACCGTTATGCCTGTTGTATGGGTAAGGCTCTAGCTATATTTAACAGACAGAAATGACTTAAAAAAGGACATCAAAGAGAATTTTGTTTTCATCTAAATGAACTAGGCAGATTAGAATGTCCCAAAGGGACACGGGCAGTGATCATGACTGCATTTGTGCTGACCACTCTACTACCCCTCCCCCCTCCATTTCAAGAGAATGCAGCAGCAGCCAAAAGTTAGGCAGGGTTTTTCTTAGGAGGGGAGCTTAGAACACACATCAATTATAATAGAGCCTGTAAACATCTATGAGGCTACTTTATGGCTACAGAACTGAATTAACTGGGAAATTCTCCGACTGTTAGACTCATCTATCACAATGCTGTATTACAGTCTTTGGAATTAGTCCTAGATCGATCTAAAGTATTTACTCTTCCGGTTTAAATACCCTGTACATTCACTTTCATTGACTGAAAACTCTCTGAGGGCAGGTACTTTCTAGCTGTCTAGCTTTATTTATTTAGTTAGTTAGTTGGTTGTGGGGCTTCAACTCTGGGCCTGGGCGCTGTCCCTCAGCTCTTCAGCTCAAGGCGAGCGCTCTACTACTTGAGCCACAGCGCCACTTCCGGTTTTCTGAGCGGTTTATAGGAGATGAGTACCACGGACTTTCCTGTCCGGGCTGGCTTTGAACCGCGATCCTCAGATCTCAGCCTCCAGAGTAGCTAGAATAACAGGCGTGAGCCACCAGCGCCCGGCTCTAGCTCTTTTTAATACTCCCAGAGCCCAGCTCTGGGTCTGGTATCTAAAAGGAGCTCAATAAACACCTGCTGAATGAATGAATGAATCCCAGGGAAACTGAAGCCCCGGAAGCAAAGGGGATGGGGGCCACTTTGGGGCCGAGCCTCGAACACGGGGCTCCTAGGTCGGGCGGCCTAGACTCAGGGGTGCGACTCAAGGCCCCGGGGACGGCGTAAGCGTCGACCCCACGGTGGAGACAGCGGGACTGGGATGCCGAGGTCAGCCGGGGTTCGGCCGCGGCTCCTTCCGAGCCCCAGGCTCCGCATCCGGCCGGACCCAGCCACGCAACTCACCTCAGCGGCTCCACTACGGGCGCGGTGCCGCCGCCACGCCGCCGCCGATCCCGGTGACAGCTCGCGGAGCTTCTAAACTTCCGGGGTCAAACGGCGATTCCGCAGGCGCAAACAGGAAGCCCCAACCTGGCCCCGCCCCCGGTGCCCACAGCTCAGCCCTGCTCCCGAAGCCAACCGCCGCTAGGCTCCCGGGCCGGAAGCCACGCCCCCATGCCAAAGACTCCGCCCCGCTGTGACCACGCCCCCTCCCCAAATGCCATACTCAAGTCAGCTTTTCAGTATCCCAAGCTTCTACGTGGTCAAGTCGTCATTTTACAAACTGAACTCAGAAGAGAAGTCGTAAAGTGTCAAAAGCATAAACATGATGTTAGAGGAAGAAGGCTGAGGAACCTGTACAAGCTATGATTTTATTTAGTTCTAGAAGAGTTAAAATGAATGAGTGGTGATAAGGTTATTGTGATTGGTACCTCTTGGGCTGTTGAAGAAGAAGGGCCCACAATTTTTGGTACTAGAATTTAAACTCAGGGCTTGCATTTGCTAGGCAAGTGTTCTACCGCTGAGCCACATCCCCCAGCACTCTTTCGCTTTTGATATTTTTCACATAAAGGCTCTGTGTCTGCTCAAGTAAGCCTCAACTGCTATCCTCCTATTTTCGCTTCCTGCATAGCTGACAGGCACAAGCCACCGTGCACATTTTTCTTGGTTGAGATGGCATCTCATGAACTTTTTTCCTGGGCTGGGCTTGAATTATGACCTTCCCAAACTTAGCTCCCAAAGTAGTTAGGATTATAAATGTGAACCACCAGGCCTGACTTGTTTGAAGAGATTGTTAAGGAATGTATGCTTCCAAAGGAGGCATCCTTCTTTGAGCTAAAAGGTGTCCAGCCAAAATTAAATTAAAAGGCCAATTTAACCGGAGAAGCCTCAAACCATGCATAAATTACACACAAATACAGAGGAATGTCTTGGCCTGTATTTCCCTCCAGATGAAAAGAAATAACTAACATCCTTTAGGAGCAAATATTTGGATTGGCAAAGGAGGGGAGTGTCTACCGTGCTGATAACCAATCAAGACTGCAGAGAAAAATGTCAATAGTAGGAACTAATAATTAGCAGAAGACTAGGTGGACCTAAGTCTTGCCTGGCCCAGACACTTTGGATCACCTCTGATCAATTAGTGTTGACTTCCTTTGTTTTTCAGTGGTCTAGCAAGTATGTTTGCCAGCACTGATATTGTGTTAGATCCTGAGAAATCTATCCAGTGTTCATTTCTTCTGTTTTCCCACCAATAGTAATTTGATTACTTCTTACAGAGACATCCCTCCCACTAACATCCAAATGGAGTTGAGATTGACTCCTTACCCAGTGCTATTATTTGAATACCTAGTGTTCCTTATGTGTTAAAGGCTTGGTCCCCAGGCTTTGGTTCTATTGGGAAGTAGCAGAACCTTTAAGAGGTGTAGGAGATTTTAGGTGATTGGAGATGTACACTCAAAGGGAATTAGAGGACACCAGTCTCTTCCTTTGATTCCTAATCATGTCAATTGTTTGTATTGTCCTGATATGCCACCACAGGCCCAAAACAACAGGGCTATGCACTGAACTCTTCACAAGTGTGAGCTGAGAGGGAAGATTCCAATGATTCATGCCTGTAATCCTAACTATTCAGGAGGTTGATCTGGAGGATCGAGGTTCGAAGCCAACTGAAACAGAAAAGTCTATGAGACTTCATTTCCAAAATAACCAGCAAAACTTCGACTGGAGGTATGGCTCAAGTGGAAGAGTGCCAGCTAAACAAGAAAGCCAAGCAAGTATAAGGCTCAAAGTTCAAATTCTAGTATCATCAAAAATAAAAATAACTAAATAAATGAGCCAAAATAAGTTATTTCTCTTTGTATGTTGATCACCCAGGAATTTGGTACCGTAATGGAATGCTGACTAACTCTACAGTTCTTGTCATTTAGTAGTGACTACAGGCAGAAGTGAATTTTTCTCTCATAGGGAACACATGGCAAGACATTTATGGTTGTCACAACTGGAACATCTCAGAGGTAGAAGTCAAGGATATTGTTCAACATTCCATAATGCACAGGACAGTCCACAGCACAAAGAATAACCTGATCTAAAATATCAATAGTGCCAAGACTGAGAAATCTTGACCAAGCTTGTGTTTTTACATGGTGGCTTAGATCCTATGTCGGTCAGCTTTATCATCGTAGTGACCAAATACCCATGAAAGACAACTTAAAGGAAAGATGAGTTGGGCACTGGTGGCTCATGCCTGCAATCCTAGCTACTCAGGAGGTTCAGATGTGAGGATCATGGTTTGAAGCCAGCAGATTTAGGAAAGTCCATGAAAGTCGTTTCCAATTAATCACAGCACACACACACACACACACACACACACACACACACACACACACACACACACACACACACACAGAGCTGGAAGTGGGGCTGTGGATCAAGTGGTATTGGTAGAGCAGTAGCCTTGAGCAAAAAAGCTCAGGGAACCAGAACCAGGCCAAAAAAAGGAAGGTGTCTTTTTTCCCCCACATTGGTTATGAGCCTTGAGCTCAGGGACTGGGCACTGTCTCTGAGCTCTTTTTGGCCAAAGCTAGTGCTCTTCCACTTTGAGCCACAGCAACACTTCTAGTATCCTGGTGGTTAATTTGAAATAAGAGTCTCACAGGAACTTTTCTTTCCAAACTAGCTTTGAACAGTGATCATCAGATATCACCCTCCTAACTAGCTAGGATTACAGGTGTGAACCATTGGTGCCCGGCAAAAGATGTCTTTTGTCTCTCAGTTTCAGAGTTCAGTTCATGTTTGTTTGGCTCATGCACTTGGGCAGAACATCATGGTGGCAGCGGCATGTGGAGGAACAGGAGGCTGCTCACCTCATGGTAGACAGGAAGCAGAGAGCTGGGAAAGGGCCTGGGGACCAGGCACCACCTTCAAAGATATGCTCCTCCAGTGGCCTACTTCCTCCAGCTAGGATTCACCTAGTAGAGTAGGGGACCTCTGTCTTGTGGGCCATATAAGGTCCACAAAATCTTTTGGTACACGACAAGACTGACACATGTGATTTTTGTAAGCTACCCACTGTCATCTGCTTATATCAATAATTTTGAACAGCCCACAAACACGGTTCTTGGTATAAAAAGGTTCCCCACTTTCCAGAGCTTTCCAAAATAGTGCCAATAGTGGGGGAACCAAGTGTTTAACACTTGAGCCTCTGGGAGATGTTTATATATAAATATATACACATATATAGTATATATAAAATATTTTACATATGTATATGTTATATATATGTATATATATATATATATATATATATATATATATTTGTTCATTTGGTTTTGGTTTTGGTGCTAGTCAGGCTTGAATTCAGGGCCTGAGCACTGTCCCTGAGCTTTTGTGCTCAACGCTAGTGTTCTACCACTTGAGTCCACAGCTCCATTTCTGGCTTTTTGGTGGTTAATTGGGGATAAGCATCTCACAGGCTTTCCTGACCAGGCGCTAAGCCACTGGTGCCCAGCTGAATATACACACATATATATTTTGTTGTTGTTGGTGGTGGTGGTCGTCTTTGTGGGGCTTGAACTCTGGGCTTGGGCGCTGTCCCTGTGCTCTTCAGCTCAAGGCGAGCACTCTACCATTTGAGCCATAGCACCATTTCTGGTTTTCTGGTGGTTTATTGGAGATAAGAGTCTCAAGGACTTTCCTTGCCCGGGCTGGCTTTGAACTGCGATCCTCAGATCTCAGCCTTCTGAGTAGCTAAGATTACAGGTGTGAGCCACTGGCGCCCGGCTTGAATGTTTTATATTTAAACCATAACCAGACCCAGAGGGTAAAACAAAAGCTGTCAGATTTCTTAAGGTCGTAGATTCTGGAACTCACCTGACATCACTTCCTCTATATTCTATTGGTTGAATCAACTAATAAAGCCAATTTTGATTCGAAGGAGGGAATTAGCCCTCCTCCCCATCTGTGAATAACCAGATGGTTTTGGTGTGGCCATTTTAACAGATGATCTATTAAAACCAAGGAAATTACTGAGAAGATTCATGTGTTTATAGATCAGCCAAGAAGTGCCCTCATGAGAAAATGAAATAATAGCAGTTGAAGACTCTTTGTGAAGTGTTACATAAATATATTAGTTTCATAATCCACACTGTTCCCAGCCAGCAACTGCTATCCTAGCAGTTTTCCATTAAGCCAGACTTTCAATAGGCCTCTGGTCTGTGTCTCCCCAATCTCCCTTGCTCACTGTTGAGTTCATCAAAGCTTCTGCTGACTCTGGAAGAATCTAGAGAACAATCACTACAGTGAAAGTCTCAAATCATCCCCCAGGGCCCCTAGTAATTGAACATCTGCTTGTCAGTATCCCTGCCCCTCTGGTTTTAGTGAGAAAAGTGTGTTAAGTGATGGTAATGATAAACAACTTTAAAAAAAAAAAAACAGACTTCTTAGCTTCTCAGAGGGAAAGTTTGATTGGAAGGCAGCTGGTTATCTTCTCATTATAATTTCTAACTCATAGCTGTTTTGCTTCTTGCCACTGATCTGTGAACAACAAAAAGAGGAGAATTAGATCTAAGCTGACACATTTGAGAAATCAGAGGGCAAGTGGATCCTCAAGTGGAATAAAGACCTTATTGAATGCATAATGCAAATCTCTTATGGATAAGGAAATCGAATCTCAGTGAAAGGATGGGACTTCCCCAGAGTCACCTGGCAGCTGCAGGGTAGCAGAATGGGGCATTGGGACTAAAGCCTCCATGCTGGCTGCCCACCTAAAGCCCTGCCCAGGGAAATGAAAGGGTAGCTCTGTCTGCCTTGTGCAGCCTGGATATGTTGGACTCAGACCACCCATCAAAGTGGCAATTGGGCAGCCCAGTCCCTCTATAATCATTAGTGTAGGACAACAGAGCCACAAGGCCAATTCCTCCAAGGTTGGGACATGGTTTAAATTATAGAGGATGCTAGGGCAGGGAAATCATTGCTTCACTTCAAGATTAAACTTGTTTTCTTTCCCTTTCCCTTTGGGGTACTAGAATCTAAATTCAGGGCTTGTAGGGCC